TCGTCAGAATCATTGTGCGGAAGATTTCCGGCGGGTGTGGGGGTGGGGGTAGACGGATGTGGGCGATTCATGAGTTGTGAGATACTGGAGGCAGCACCTTGCGCACTAGCGCGGCGCTGTGAGAAACTGAGGAAGGCATCGACTATGGGAGTAGAGTCGCGTCGGGCGGTTACAACACCCGCTGCATTAAGAGCGGTCTGCGCCCGTGTAGGTGCCATGAAGTCAGATGTAAGTATACTCGGTAAGGTGTGAGTTCGAATATACTGTTAAGAACGTGCTCAAGGGTCAGATCCGAAGGGCTTGGCTTCAGCTCGTGCGCTGCGCCCCTTACCCGAGTACGTGCCCCTAACTTCCGAGGGTTGTTGAACGATGTCCGAAGGTTACCGGACGATGTCCGGAGGGCGTCGGGCGATGTCCGGAGTCCGATGTCCGATGCGCGGGAATTCCGGCGGACGTTCGGAAACAAGAGATAAGACTAATCCGGACGAAGTCCGAACTAGAAAGGAAACAGCGGAGGACTACCAGAGGTAGAGGCGGAGGTGTCAAGTCTATAGGAGTCGATCCTAAGACGAGCGGAGGTCGACGAGAGAGAAACTCAAGTCGGACGGAGGAGAGAATGAGCAGAGTCTAATATGATATTCGAACTGAGGAAACTACAGAGATTGTACAGGGGTTTATATACTACTGAGGACATAACGGAGAATAGTAAGTGCAGTGCGAAGCTATGTAAAGCTATGAAGAAAACATATGGTACGACTATCACTAGTCTATCGGAACTTAGTAAAATGAAGACGGAGATGAATGAGGAACGGAAAATAAAGCGTACTAACTGATAAGGGAAATACCAAAGGGATAAGGCGCGGAAGTTAGACGCGGGTCGGATCCGGACGATACATAGAAGTCGGCCGGATCCGGAAATCCGGAAATGATGAGTGTGATAGGTCCGGGTCCGGAACGCGGGATATGACACCAGCCCGCATCCAGTTGAGGTTCCAAATAATGCCAGGAGGAACTACCGTCCTCGTCCTCGACATCCTCGACGGTGACACGACGACTTTTGTTAGGAGCAGGGTTATTGTCCATATCGGCAGATGGGTGGGCATGAACTTGGCCTGCATCATTGTGGGAGAAGTCGACAGGTGCTTCTTGTGCGTCTAAATTCCCAGCCTCGTTATCCTCAATCATTGATACCCACTGACGTCGACATTCAGGATGGCTTGTGATGTGTCTCTTGAGACCTCCATGTGTGGTTATTACCTTTCCACAGAACACGCAGGAAGGCATGGTTTGTCCGTTGTTACCATAACTCGCCCATACAGTCACAAGTACCCTTTTTTTCAGGTACATTTCATTTCGATGCCACGACACGCGATTGTAGAGTTCCCGCATCGCATGGCTTTCAACAATTTCTCTCGTCTTGTCTGTTTCTCCCTTTGCAAATGTAGAGTTCACGCATCGCATGGCTTCTCTTTGACTCATTTCAACAATTTCTAACTTTCTTCCCTTGCAAATGTAGAGTTCACGCATTTTTACTCATTTTTCTTCTTAGCTTTTCCTTCTTGGCCTTGGTTACTACTACCACCATCATCTCTATTCGGTTTTTGCAATTTCTCCCTTCGCAAATGTAGAGTTCACGCATCGCACGGCTTCTCTTTGGCTCGTTTCAACAATTTCTCTTGTCCTCATCTTGTCTATTTCTCCCTTTGCAAATGTAGAGTTCACGCATCACATGGCTTCTCTTTGGCTTGTTTTTCTTCTTGGCCTTGGTTACTACTACCATCATCTCCATTCATTCCGGTACGGCACCTTTCATTCTGGACTGACCATTGACATAACTGACTAAACTAGGGTAGTGATACCATGAGCCGCAAGTAGGAGTTCCAATAGTTGGACTTTTCTCGCCTCTTCGCACCGCTTCTTCTCTGCACTCCAACGCTGTGTTATCATCTCCCGCAAGAATGCTTGGTGAGTTACTGGGTCCTGGATACGTTCTAGGAGTTGAACTTTACACGTCTCTTCACAGTGCCTTATCTCCGCATCCCAGCGTTCCAATATAAGTGTTCGAATGTAAGTCTGAGATGCTTGGATTGGTCCGGGTGTTTGACGAAACGGTGGCAATGGAAACAGAATCTCAAGAGGGGGTGGTCCCACCCTAGCCTTAGCCTTAACCTGGCCTGGAGCACGAACGACCTGAAAAGGTCGGCTCGGAGGAGGTATGAGGTCAGTGTTCGATGGTAAGGAGGCTGGACTGAAACATTGGTTAGCATGAGGCCAATGTTGGATCTGCCGGCAAAGCAACTTACTGAGTGCTCATTTTGGGTAGGAGTTGAAAAGAAAAGTTGTGCCGCATCCCCCTTACTTATGCTGTTGTGTTGACACCGCTTGAACAGGTGAAAAATTTACATTCAAATCAACAAAACTCTAAATTTGTTTGTTGATTGCACGCCACGCCAGTGTTTATAAAGGGTACGTCTGTCTATGTTGTCACCATTGCTACATATCCTTGATTATGCCTGCAAAAGCAAGCTTAAAGAAGGCTTCTAAAAAGTCTATTTCCAAGGCTCAGGACAAGCTATGTGCTGAGATGGAATAGACTGCGGGACGCACCGCAAGTGGTCGCAAACGCCGACCGACTGAAAGAGAGAGCTACAGATGTAAGTACGATGCAGCAAGTCAATGTTCTAATACAACTGACTCCCTTTTACTTGACAGTACTAGAAGCTCATCAAGGCAAAGACCGCCAACATGACTTCAATGCAACAATGGAGAAACGCAAATTAAAGGTATTGCGTGCTGCATACAAAAAAAACCCCGAGGAGTTCAACGACGAGCCTGCGGAGCTCCTCAGTGATATGGATATCGAAGAAGAAAATATGGTACGTGTCTCATTTTTCCAGTGCTGCTTCGCTCACTATGTCATTGTAGTTCTTGCATCACTATGTACCTACAAAGGTAACTAAGCCACAGGCGCTCATGTACAGTACGAGCAAAACTCCTCCAGCTGTCTTGGCTCCGATGTCTTTCAGTAACGACCGCTTCAGTACTGCGGCCTCAGCTCCAACGTCCATCAGCAAGTCTCCCAAAGGTACTGTGTCTTAGGTTATACAGTATGACCGCAATACTAACACGGCACTTTTGTCAGCTTCTGCAATTGTCACGTCCTCCAGTGAGGACAGCGAGCACACATCCTCCAGTGAGGATGGCGAGCATGCTGATGACAATGAGGATGAACACCAATTGACCGACATTGAATCTGTTTGCAGTGCTCCTCACACTGGAGACCTTCGCCACGAAGCGGTGGTCGATGATATTCCACCACGGGTTGTCAGGACCAAGCACCAACTGCAGGACCGTGACGAAGAAACCAAGCCGCTAAAATTCCATAAAGCTTTGGACAGATCACGCCAACGATTAAAGGCCAGCGATTTCAATGAGGTCACGCAGGATTTGCTTGCCATTGCCACATCTATCTATCGCTGTCTAGTCGTGACACGGGAACCTTTTCCTCAGACACTTATCAGCGAGACGCTACTAGCCAAGGAGGCCTGGCGAGAGGCATCTAAATTGGCAGGGCTTACGATTCAACTAACTCCTTCGTTGGTCAAAATGGTAAGGAGTCACTTGGTAATGTCCGCATGCTTATCCTATTGATGATATATATTATGTAGATGACGAGGCGCACTTCCCAAGTGCGTGGGGAGCTCAAAACTAAGATGCGCGCACTTACAGCATCATTCTTTGGCTTCCGCACAAGCCAATCTATAGCGACTATGACACACAATCGCGACCTAGCTGAATCTCTGAAGGATGGGACATGTTTCGTTTTCAAGGTGCGTAGCTGATTCTGACATGGCCTGTTGTCAGATGATCTGACTGGCAGAGTGATAGGACTGGGAGAAGAAAAGCGGGATTTACAAGACTGGATTGATACAGTCAGCGGTGAATGACATGTGGTTTGCGAACCGCAATGATGAGGGTGTGATTTACAGTAAATATTTCGACCCTTTACCGGTCAAACTTCTCGCACTTATTCTCACAGCGGTGCGTGCCTTCAGATGTTGATGCTGTAGCACAGTAGCTGACTCCTGCGGTTTGACAGATCGAATGTTGCCTTGATGAGTGGATAACCGGGATGAAGGAAGACATCAAATTCTCGTCCACAGCTTATACTCCGGTCTACCTGGTCCATCTCAGCTCATTACAGCGGTTCGACGAGCGCACCTCACATTACAAACTACTCGAGAAAATTCGTGTCAATATCCTTGACGTTGCTCAGTATGTCGGTGGCCACTTGCATTGATTATCCTGCAAACTAATGCGGATGGCAAGGTTCCATGCTGGGGTGAATTCACTGGCAGCACAGGCAACTACCATCGGCTTGACAGATGAGATATTTGACGACGCGATTCAAGAGTTTGAAGCTGAGGCTAGAGATGCCCAAGAGGGGCGCCAGGGAGGTGTGTAACTGGGTAGTCTTTGACAATGGCTGCTCGTTGTAGTACTGTATAGATGCTGTCTGTTATACTGTAATTCTATTCTGTTTCGTCGATTTCAGCTGGTGGCGTGGATTGGCACCTGTAGCTCAAAAAAGCGAAGCTAGTAGAAGGTCCTACCAGTGCTAGCTATTGCGCTGTGTAGCTGCCTGTAGCTTGCTACGACGAGCTACCAGTGACTCTCATAGCGCTATATATTGAGCCATGTGGCTATATAGCCGCATGTAGAAGGGACTTGACAAACGGGACTACAGGTACTACAGCGACTATATAGCCACCTGTAGTCAAATGGTATTTTCCTGATGTATGGAGTGCAGTCTGTACTACAGGTATCCGTTCAAACCTCCCACACATCCGAAGTCATTCCATGTAGCTTATCCACCTCCTCATAAACTTTTGTCCAGTCACGACAAACAGTCTCGTATCCCCTGACGGCAGACCCCAGGTTATTTACGACCGGCTCAATTTTGATATTGGGGTGGCACAAAATTGATTGGCGAAGATAATTCATGCAGTGACGAGTGACTGACGACGGGGGGCGCATTTCTGCGTAGTTGTCACGGATAATGCCCAGGCACTTGAGCTGGTGAAAGAGCGCCACCGTGTTGAAATGCGACTTTCACCCGTCTCCGCATCTTTGATGGGAACGGTATGTCCTCCCCGTGGAACGAGTTTCGCAAACTCTTCTCCGCCCTCATCCGTATCGGCGCGGTAGTGTGCTGTTTGGTCTATTCGCATCCATACTGGTTCCCCGAAATCTATCTGAAGGGCTAGATCTGATGCGTGGAATCGTCAGTCAAGCCTTTAGGACACGCTCGAAACCTTTGTAGTACCATGGCTGAGAGCAATTCCTTTGAAAAAACTGCTGTCGGACAACCGAGGCCTTCGTGCAATAAGATTGGCAAGGCCGATGCCTACGACTGTGGCGAGTATCGCTTTAAGAGCAAAGAAAAGTCGTCTCATTACTATGTGCAGGGAATCGCAGTGACTTTTGGTGCTTAAGATTCAATTACAGGTAAAGTACTAGTAGCCCCGTGGCAGTACGCTAGTATATGGTGTGATTCTCTGATCGATCCGTCAGAGTCACCGTATCGTAATGCGGAATCTGTACAATTGATGCCATGACAAGGTACAGGGACTCATCATCGTGGGGTTGCTTCGGATACAGATCACTGCGTGGCTCGGAGCATTTAGGTGCCATAGAGTTATGGAAGGCAAAGGTTAGCGTAATGAGGACTTCCAGTGAGGCAGTCCATCAATTACTAATGACTTACATGCGGATATTAGTTTGAGCGCATCAACTGCATGCTGATTCGGACGCCGGTCAATGTTCATGTGCTTCTATTGAACAACTACGGGCCCAATGCAAGGTTTCGTTATTTTCAAAGTAATTGTGGAGTGCAAACAATATTTTCAATCCTGAGGCTAGTCCATCGTCAAAGTATACTAAATAAATATTTGTTTTACATGTACTCTGACCCGTAGCATTCTATAACTGTTATCTCAGTAGGTATCCAAGCGACCTTGCTCACGCAACTGCTTCCACTGAATCGTGGTCATTACCCTTGTAGGTCGCATGCGCTTCAATGCCAGAGGAACCAGTGAACGTTTTGGAGCCATCCCGCACACTGTACCCGAAACCACCCATACGGATTGCTTGCACTGATGGCTTCGAGGTCATGACCCTGGACATGGTGTCCTGAGACCAACCCTTTCCTTGCGCGACCCGGAAAACTATGAGCAACATTGCAACAATCTGTGGCATGTCATAAGCAGCGCGAATGCCTCTCTAATCGCCAGTACTAACCTGAATCTGAGGCAGCAATTCAATAAATGCTGCAGATATGGGATTGTTTATAAGGAAGAGTATCAGAAGTGCCAGCGAAAATGTGGAATAAAAAGCGGCAGATTCAACTATCATTGCAGAAATCGACGTGTACTGAGCGCCGAACCTAGAGCCAAGAGCTTTGGGAATTCGATGACGATATGTGAGTAGACGAAGTACGATAACGATCGTGATGATGATGTTCAGTGCGAGTGAGAGGCTGAGATATGGAACGGTATAGTTGATGTTAGTCGAGGTGAAAAATGGGGAATTGCTGGTTAATTGAAGCAGCCACATTATACCCATAACTAATGGATGCGATAGTGAGCGTCCGATACAATCAAACAGACATTGAAAGTAAGCAACTGACTGATGGATGCAGCGAACATCAGACAAGGGAACAACATGGTGATCCACACTGGTACCATACACCCTCTGTAAATTACCATGCAGCGCCAAACCTGAACAGATATATTAGCGATAACATTTTCAACTTCGAATACCTCTACTCACGACCAATCCATCTGAAAGAGCCATCATCAGAAACCCACAGACGTTTCCAAGATTGTCCACAGGAATGCCGAACATGTTATTCTCAAATGCGTTCGGACCGCCTGGATAATCGCGATATTGAATGAATGCGAGTTGTGTGAAATCAGCCAGCGATGCCATAAACAAGGTGCTGAGGATAAAATCTATGGTGATGTATATGAGTAGAGGCAGGTTCTTTTTGTAGTTCGTGCGGGTCATTTGCCGGATCAGGAGGTGGAAGCACATAAAGAACAGCGTAACACCAATGCCATATGCAACGGAGCTGACCACTGTCCCTTGCAACCAGCCTTTCTCTGCGAGAAGCATTTCAGACGATTCGTCTGGTGTCCAACTAGATGACATGATATATCAGATGGCGAACAGAACAACCTGAAGGATCCTCAGGCTTCCGGAGGAGTAAGGAGATATCTGGGGAGAGTGGGAGCGAGTCGCAACCATGGTGGGAGCACCTCGTTAAATAACACCATAACGTCACCGTTGCAGGTGGATCAATCCGCATAGAATCCTAGTACTACTACAACTGCGGCACAATCAGAAACTTTCAATTGACCGAGCATTTCCTCTTCAGGAAACGAACCATGAGGACACATGTTTCAAGTTTGAACAGGGAGATCAAAGGGAGATACGACGGTTCCTCCCGGGACCCGGCTGAGCTCAGAACGCGCATCCGTAAGAGAATAGACTAGAATTTTGGGAGGAACTTACCTCATAGCACAGCATCAATAACAGCCTCTATCGCATGTCCATGTCAAGTCTCATGTGGTCAACAGTTAACGTTCAAACGTTCACCTCCGACGTGCCCCATACGTTGATCTTCGAATGGTTGAAGTTACAGTAGATTTAAAAGTCGAAGACACACATACCAAACTTGGTACAAAATCGTCGGCGATCTCGCTTTCGGTTATGATCCGTAACATATAGAGACTGAACGATTGAATAGGCTCGGATTTGCAAGTGTATACATTTAAAACCTAGTACAGTCATTGAACCGCTCAGTAAAATAATACATAGTTCTGCAGATACATTCAGCGAATGGATTGAAGCGTACGAAGTAGCGTGTCAATTCAATCCCAATGTGCCCTCCACTGCAACCACTTCTCGTGGTACTCTTCAGATACAGAAATGGCCTTACTCCAGTCCCTGCACACTAATGTGTCCCCCACTCTGTCCTTCTCGTAATCGACTTTCAAAAAGTCTCCCATTTCTAGTGTATGCGCAGAATCACACATGAGAGTCTGCCGAAGATAATTGAGACAGTGATGTGCGTGATGATCATTGGTAAGGGGTTCGTCACGGCTGTAGTCGAGGAGAGCTTCCTGCAGTATCCATAAACAGTGAAGCTGATGACCGAAGACCAGCACGAAAAGTCGCTGCTCTGGTCCTAGATGGGTGCGACCAACTATTTTCGGCCAACTTTGTGTTGGGATCCGACGAATCCGAAGGAGACAAGTAGTGATGTGCACGGCTCGGCTTGAGGCCCTGGGCCGGCCCAAGCCGGGCCCAAATAAGCCGGGCCCAGCCCAGGCCTAAGTCACGGCCTGAGGAAGGCTTGGGCCTGGGCTTGAGTTTCGAAAAGCCTGAGCCAGCGGCCTAAGCCGTGGCTTTGGTATGTTCAGTGGCACTGCCATAGAAGCCTCACCGGAGGTACGTTTCCCGACTCTATTTTTGTCTTTTCGACCTTCTGACTTCCATCACTCTTATCAGCTTCGACGGTCCATATGTCGCAGTGAGTTGCCATGTCTTATTTGTGCTTCGGTTGGTCGACGTTACTCACATCGAATTCCGGCACTCGAAACTCTTCACAAGGCTTGGTCATCGCGCGCAGAAAGGTCGAAATATGCGAAGTTTGCTCCCGCGCTCAAAGATGCAGCCGCAAAAGTAGATGAGTATTATGAGAAGACGACACACTCCGCTGCGTATGTATTGTTAATGTGTACGTTGTTTATTTTTTCATGAACGACTGCGAGTCTGACATTTGCACTTCAGTACTCAACCCCACAGGGAAAATGTCATATTTCACGAAGCATTGGCCAGAGGATCTGCACGATGACATGCTTTCTACTGCGGAGACAGTGGTGAGTCATCTTTTTCATTTTATCAACTTAATCTGAATGTGCTACAACTAGTTCAAAGCCCGTTATCTTCAGCTGAACCAAGTGACATCATCGACGTCGCAGCACACAACTAAGCCTGGCAGAACTGGCAGTCTCAAGAAGTTAATTCGCGAAGTCCTCAACGACGCAACCAGCTTAAGGCCGACATCGTCGAAGCACTCCAGTGTCTTAAATGTGCACTACGACACGATCTTCTGTTCTGGGAGCCTGCACCATCGTCTCTTGTTGAGTTGGAGCACCTGGACGACGATGATGAAGAAGTGGAAGTGGAAGAGACTGGTGATGACGAAGAAGGTTGGGACATTCTGCTTTTGGGCGATGATGCTGAGGATGTGTCAGACACTGAGACGGACATTTACTAGATATATTGTAATTATGCTGCCTAATGCCACAGTGGTCTTGAGCTGTCTGTTGGCTGCGAAAAGCCGCGGCCTGGTTGGGCTTAAGCCCCGGCTTTGGGCTGGCTTGGGCTCACGGCCTAGGCTCAGGAATCTTGTGAGCCTAAGCCCCTCGAGGCCAAGCCTAAGCCGGGGCTTTGAGCCTAAGCCGGGCCGGAACATCACTAGAGACAAGGCCGAAAGGATGAGAGCCGAGAGGGAGAGGCAGCAACCGGCCGAAGCGTAGAGCCAAGGGAGAGGACACCAAGTGCGAGCGCATCCAAACGGAGAATGAGGTCGACGTGTCGTGGCCAACTCGTGCGCTGTCCATCTTTTAGTTTAGCTTAGCGTAAATTACTGTACCTGGGAGACTCACCTTATAAGCCCAGGTACCCGCATCCAAACATCTCAGTTTCAACTCGAATACTGAGATGTAAGTTAGTATTTTCGTAACGTTCGACTCGAGGTCTAACGTTATATTAGATTCGTACCTTTGTGTCTAGGTACAACGTTTGTTAATCAGAGTTTCAACTCGAATACTGAGATATTCGTACCTTTGTGTCTAGCTGCGCGTGACCGTCTCGCTATACTCTCAATACTTTGGAGGCTCTCCCACTCCAGTTGAGATTCTGTATCAGATGCGTTTAGAGCAAAATGCACACTCTTGTGAAGAGTCATCGCGACGGCTTCATGGGTGAGATCGACGGGAAATTCCCACGGGTAATCATCACCAGCGTAAGTGTATTCTATAGTTTCTAAAGTGCGGAGGTCAGCCTATCATGTTTTTGCTTCAACGTGTATGGGAGGTACTCGCGATGTTCTGCCGGTTGGAGTCGGATGTTAGCATGCCACATGGTGGCAAGTATAGTGAGCATTCCGAACATCCAACCAACTGCCAGTTCTACGCGAGACATCATGGATACTGATTACCTGAAGGTACTAGTAGTACTTAACGCAAGTTCTTGATTATTAAGTATTAAGCCCAGTATCCTGTTGATATATGATTAGCACTGGCAACTAATTAGCCCTAAAATACTTTACCACGGTTCAAGTTAGAGCTCCTCGTGGATCTCGCATATGGACTAGTTGCACAATTGTCCGGCGGACGCATCACGGTCAAACTTGTCCTTTCGTATGATTCAATCAGCACATGATTGTGCTGAGTCGAGGAACCATTTCTATATTTAAATTTTATATACCGCAGAAATTGTTAAGATGCCGCGGGAATAGTATGAGATAAGAGGATTGCCGATAAATTTTGTTTTGAAGCGTAGCCAGAGAATGATATCTAGAAGGAACTAGTACTGAGTCGGACAACTTAGTCGCTCCTTCAAGCTTCAAGTTCTGTGGGCTCCATGGTGGCGTTGCTACATGATGATTCTGATCATGATGCTGATGGCCTGATGCTGATCGCAGCGACACAATGTTTAGGCACCTATAGGAAATCATTAATCACCGACGGATAACAGAAATGAAATTGAAAAGTTAAACCGAAAGTGACATTGCTCGGAGGTGCTGTGCACCAGCCTTGTGGTGTTGGATCCAAAAACAGTACTAGTACAAACCTGTAGGTGCCGTCATCCCGGCCTTCTGGTATGAGTCAGTACTAGTAGTACTCTGAAACCTTTACCGCCTCACGCGCATGATTAATACAGCCATGGTAAGTCCGCATCAGTCAATCGCTGTGCACCTATTCCAAAGCAACGTGCTTCGAATTCACTTAGGTAAACCCTCGCCGAGCTGATGTATAAAAAGGGTCCGACTACAATTTCATCTGACACACAAAAACGCATCGATTTAACCAACAAGTCTTAGCCAACAGTATCATTCAATACTACCATGATCCTGCCCAAAATTAGCTTTTACATCTTACTCTTGTCTGTGGCCTTCGCGCAAATCACAGCAGCACCCGTCGCCAGTGTGCCGGATTGCGACAGGAGCCTGAGTGACGATGTAGCCTGTGAGTAGGTCCCGGTGATGGTGTAGGACTTGGCTGATGAATTTGAACCTCTAGTAAGTGATAAAATGGTATCGCCCTGCGAGGGCTTTTGAAATTTGAAGGCTCGATGCAGCGCAAGGTTGAAAGTTGATGTAAAGAATAATGGATCAGTAGACCGGACGGTCATTTTGTATATGATCACTATACACATATAGTGACACTAGCCTTCAACAACAAATTGTATTTCCAGTTTATTATTTGAGTGGGCAATGAGAAATTATACTACTAAGGCTATACTGGATGACAGAACTATATGCAAGACGATACATTTAATCTAGGGGGCCTGTGTCCCATCGCGCCCCTAGATTCGTGAATGCTCTGATGTGAGACGTGCCCTCACCAGTCCACCCTTCCCTGCCGGTTTAGACATATTAATCGAGAGTGAGGTGACTTTCAAGGTTGGCGCAATTAAATAGTATACGTGAACTAAGGGGGAGAAGGTATTTTTTTTAGTAAAAGGGCCCAACCGATCTCATCTGGAATAAGACAACACATCTTAACCAGCAAGCCTTAGGCGACGGTACTATCATTCAATAATATGAGCGTGGTCAACACCAGCTTCTACGTCTTACTCTTGTCTGACATTCACGCGATTCACAGTAGCAGTAACAGACGTCACTAAATGTACCTGGACTGATGACGACGTGGATGGTATAGCCTGTGAGTAGGTCCCGGTGATGGTGTAGGACTTGGCTGATGAATTTGAACCTCTAGTACACGGAGAAAAGAAATGCTTTTGAAGCCTCGTTAATAATGCAGCGACGGGAAGGTTGAAAGTCGATGTAAAGAATAATGGAATAACAGACGAGACGATGACATCTTGTACATGTTGTAGTGGCAGTAGCCTTCCTCAACAACAAATTAGTATGCTACTAAGACTATACTTGCTAACAATACATACCGTAGTATACCTGTATCGTAATGGCGCTCGGTGGCTCTGACTCCATGCCATAGAATCATCTTGCAAGATAAGCCTATTTGACGTCCAACGCCAGCTGGTGTGCACATGCTGTACTGAGTGTACGTATACCTCGTAGCAGTCAGTGTAATCTCGCTCAGTATTGACTTGGGGTGGCAGCCACATACCTTCTTGCAATCGTGATGCTGACTCGGATTCTTAGCAACAATATTTGTCGATGCTGCTCGAAGTCTCCCCGTTGAAACTTGAACTTACAGAACAGGTAAGTTAATCACAGCTATGAAGTAACACTGTAGATAACTCACCCACGCAGTGTCAGTCACATCAGTGCAATCGATGGACCATCGTGGAAACAAGTTCAAACCTAATTATTGAGAAGAGAAAAAACGCTGCCAGCGGATGTGAGGGAGACGATTGAGAGGCACGAAAAAGAGGGGACAACGAATAGTCCTGAATACGAACAACTTGAAATGGTAGGGATCTTCTTTGAAAAGCACGTTTGCAAGAGCCCCTGGCCAAAGGTGATGGAGACGTCCTTTGCGGCCATGATGCAACATCCCACCGTGTATCACACACACGATGTAGGTGATATCTTGACGGACCTTTCTGATATGTACTGATCATGGATTCCAGGAATGGACCGTCAGAGTTCACGATTACGGGAATGCTGAAGTCATGGTCGTGTCTGGATCAGATGCACGCAATCACGACTCCTGCTCTGCTCACCGACGGTGTGATGGACGAAGCGCAGGACGTCTGCGTGAGTCCTTTCTTCCAGAGAATCCCGCATGTGAAGTGGGCGCATTTTTTCGCAGCGTCACATGCCATTCTTGGAGGAGGAGGACCAGGCGAGATACTTTCAAGTGGTGACTGATTTTTTGACATATGCTTGAATAGTTAAATCCTGTAAAATATAAGACTGAATGCAAGAGAAGGGATTCAAGGGAATGTCCAGTGATTTGCACCTTCCACGGGTTCAGGGAAGGATCTCTAGGCATTATCATTGCCTTAGGTGAAGGATGCGCGATGAGAGGGCGGCTGTCTGCTATATGTTAAGAGAGCTTGGAGATACTAGAACCAAATGAGCAAACTGGAATATCTGATTGAGATGGGAATCCGGACGTACATTCACTGCAGGGGAAACGAGGAAATAATCGTATGCGGAACGGGTAGGATTATATATACTACTTGAGTAATCCAAGTTGAACATTCCAACTTGGTCCTAACGTTGTCATTTTCAAACGCATCAGCCATTATCGTGTGTCGACATGTCAAGCTTTCAAGTCTCATCTGGTTGTCAGTCGTTCCCCCAACACGCCTCATATGTTGATCTTCGAATGGCTGAAGTTACAGGCAAAGTAGATTTAAAAATCGGAGATGACACGTACCAGACTTGGTACAAAATCGTTGGGGATCTCGCTTCGGGTGCGCACCCTCTCATCATACTGCACGGCGGCCCTGACGTCCCGCACGAGTATATAACACCTCTCGCCGAATTTCAGGCATCCTCATCATCTTTTACAACCAGATCAGAAGTCCATTTGTGAAGGTATGGCGGGAAGCCCAAAGAGTTTTGGACTGTCGATTTCTTCATGGATGAACTGGTCCCTGGACAACATTGTTGCCCACCTTGGCGTGCAGAACGGCTTCACTCTTCCGGGTCACTCCTGGGGATATTAGGGGAGCACTACACTAGCCACAATAATCCTGCGAGTCTCCAACACCTCGTCCTCACCGTCCATGGCACTGTAGGAACAAAGGACTGGTCAGCTGCTGAACGCGCTGCCGGCAAATTTGTTGGCTGTGCCAATCACATCAGGCGGGTTTCTCGGTAGCCGTGATATCTCGCGAAGAACTGGTAGCTGGCTGGATGTTCGGAACTCTTAGTGTTCTTGCCACCGCGTGGCATGCTTGCATCCGATCGCAACCGGTACAACATCGTGAGTACCTTCCATACGCATATGATACAGAATCTCAATTGCAGTCTGAAGTGGGAGAGCCTACCAAGCTCGCCAAAAGAATTTGGTCGCACCCATCTAGAACAAGAGCACCGACTTTTTGTGCTGGGCTTCGGTCTCAGCTTCCCTATTTATGGATACTGCAGCAAGCTCTCCTCGCCTACAACTGTGACCAACCCTATGGCACATATCATCACACTCATCATTGTCTCTATTATCTTCGACGAATTCTTATGTGTGACCCTGCACATACTCTGGAAATGGGGAGTATCGTGATTGCAATGGAGAGCGCATTAGGACTAAATTAACACACCACTTGGTACGTTTTAGTCTGTTTTCGTTGAATGGCATCTGCGGAACTGTGTATCACTTAATTGTATTCATCAAGCCTGTTCAATACAACAGAATTGTTCAGTTTCTAGTGCTGCCTTACATTCAAGTGACTAAGTTGCGCAACCAAAGTTGTCTCAAGTCCAGACGGAGAAAAAGCTTTGCAAATTGACTCTTGCAAATTACTTATGCATCTTCCCATTGTTAATTTTTTCAAGACAGGATAATGCAGCCTATCCTTACCGTGGAAGGAGGAAATTGCTTTAGTAATCTGGTCATCCCATTCCCGTATATTCGATCTTATTTATATCTTACAGGATCAACCATTCAAGAATATGTCAGGAAGCCAGCCACCACTTGAAATTATCTCGCCTGGTTCTCCTCCGAGAATGGCATGCGATGCTGGGAGAACTGCGCCTACGGCGACCTACCCCATATGCGAGATTCTCCGGAAGAAATGACTGCGCTTCATCCATGACACCATTGGTGAGGAGAGGAGAGTAGGAGTTGCAATTGTGCGAATCTGATCCAGATACGACCGTGACCTCGGCGTGCTCGCAACGGCGAACTCTAATGGTCCAATCCTGGTAACGGTGATCAGTACATATCAGAAAGGTACGTCGAGACGTCATCTACATCGTATGTGGGATGTTACATCATGACTGCAAAGGCCGCCTCCATCGCCTTTGGCCAGCAGGTCTTGCAAACGTGCTTTTCATAGAAGATCCCCATCATTTGGTTATATCCAGGGCTATCTGTCGTTCCCTCTTTCTCGTGCCTCTCATTCGTCTCCTTCACATCTGTCATAGCTTGCTAAAGCTCCTCACAGATTTCGCCCGTACTAGTTGCACAACTGTCCGGACCCGATACCACAGTCAAAATTGTCCGATTCAATCAGCATGTGACGTATAATCTATGACTAAACGTAGTTACCTATATGGACTCGTTCAAATCTGGTCATGTCAACGAAAGTAGCATTGACCAGTCGTATGTGTTTGGGTCGTAGGGCTTAAGGCCTAGACTGCAAGAATCGCACTCTCCCAGTACATGTATCCCACATAGTTGAACCTTCGTTTGTTTAAGGCTGGTCATGAGTCCGTTAAACGGCTATCGCAGCCTGCCCTAATCGCAGGGCACGGACCATTTACTCCAGTCAAAATAGCTTAAAAGGAAGAGCACCTACGTAGAACTAGAAGTACGAGCGGTCGGGGCAGCGTTCAAGCCCCCTGACGAGATCTTTCGCAGGATCGAAACCGCTGCCCTCCGCTCTACTAGCCCCTCCCTCCCGTTGTAGCAGCGCCCTATCTTAGGAGAAGGCGGACTGCAGCACGCGTGCATAGGGGTGGTCTGCCTAGTACACTACTAGTCGTAGACTAAAATCTATTGCCCACCTTGCGGCAGAGGCCTCGTTCCTCGGCCCCCTTCTCAGGGGGCCTAGATTGGCATTTGCGCCTAATAGTCCGAAACGCCTCCGACTCGGAGCCTGCTCACTACCATACACCTATGGTTGGACCGCCTCCTCACTCCGAGTCAGAGAATGTACTCGCCGTGCTATCTCGATAGAAGGAACTTCAAGAAAGACTCGAACAGTTGTTCTCGAGAAGCATGTAATACATTCAGTATCAACAAACAATCATGTATGCACGAACACATCTTCTACTCCCAATGTCAATGTGCCCATGCACTCGATCTGTCCTTCTTTACGTCAACTTTCAATCCTCCAGCTGTGTTTGGGTTTCAAAAAGGATGGGTCGCCGCTAGAAGCTCGTCAGTTGTGCTCCACATAATCGCCAGCACCCACTCACCATAAGTAACATCCACATTGTCAGAATCCAGGTTGTTCTCTGCAGCACTGACCACTAGGATCTGTGCGAAGGCAACTGACAGGAGCATAACATAGAAACTGAGTTTGTTGACGTTAAGTACGGTCATGTTAATCGCTGAGGTGTGGGGTTTAGGACGCGTTGTTGTAAAGTGAGATCGGGAGTTGTACCCTTTAAATACCAATTCATGAGCGCATATAAGGAAGGGCATCACGAACTGCCATCGCACTCGAGCACTATTCAACTGACTTGATCGTTTACAGTTTCGGCTAAAAAATATTTCTAGATGTGATTGGTTGCATCTCACCCAAACGATATCCAAAATAATCTCCGCAGAGCGTCCTGTACTGTTTTGCTTGGGTATCAGATTTTTTTTGTAATGATGCTCTGATCAAGATGCCAGCGGTCCGGATGAGCATAGCGCTCATGTGCAGTAATTTGGAAAATGAGCCCATTTGATGGTCACATAAGATCACTCAAAATCTATTCGCGATCGTAGGATATCATTAGTGGATGTGGGCGCGAAGCCAGAGGCGAAGTTGTTAACATACATCCATTCCAGAAGTCGGCACTTTCACGAAATTTCTAGCTACTTACATAAACACAAAATTTGCAACATGTCATTCTCTCTCTAATATTCATTACGAGGTTGAACGTTTCAGATAGAAGAAGAATTGAGTGAAATATGTAGTTGAAACTGGAAGTGCCGAATGAATGAACCATCTACGCAGTCAGGCAAAAATGTCACCTGCCAATATGTGCCGTGACGGAGTTTCAGTACTGCACATCCCGGGCCGCTATGGGCGTCCACCAGCGTTAACTATATGAGGAAAGCTGCGAATTTTCAGAGTCCAGACCCTACATGAGTCAATTCAGGTACACGGCGGTCTACTGTACTGCCAGTGGTTTGCTTACGCTAAATAAGTATCATTTGCGGGATTGGCCTGGAGCTTAAGCCTTAAGCAAAGAAACATGACCGGGAGAACTGTTTGGACTTGAATTGATCATGATAGCAAGGGTAGCTTGAAAAGCAGTACGGTGGCCATGCCGCATATACGTGACCGACTAATTCATAATAAAGCCTGAGCGGCACTTACGTACAATTTATAACTATATACTTAGTGTTTCAAAATTCGGAGTTCATAAAGCGCCCGAGCTATATCCACGACCATCGATTCGGCGAGTTTATGTTCTAATACGACAACTGCACATTCAACATTTAAAGATACTCCGATATTGAATTTGAATGTTGTATCCTTCAGGTACAGGATGATGGAGATCACAGTCTCCAGTGCCACCACTAAAGTAGTAAGTTCATCAGAAAACCTCATGATGCATGCCAAAGGCAGTTCAACGCTCATAGCTTCTTTCTGCTATCTACGGTTCTACCGATACGGGCAGCCCTTGACGCATCACCTCACGCAGCTATCATGAGACCTGCGGTGATACCGTCGTTCCTCCGAGCCTTGAGCAATCAGGACATCGTGCTAGTAAGATGGGTCAGAAGGAAATGATTCCGGAATGATCTTAGGTCAACTTGGCTAAGTAACCTTGACCACCGGCAGTGCTAATCAAATTTATCAGCAGGATTTCACGACAACTTTGATAATCAAGAATGCATTACGCGTCGAACGGTATTGGCGATTTCTCAAGGACGACTAAGTTGGACTCGCAAGTTCGGGATCCTTAGGAAGTATGTCTGTTGCGGACGCGATCGACTTGCATCAGCGGAAAAATGGAAGTATATACCTGATTTCTGCAAGGTATGTCATTCATAGTCGCACGGGGTGTTCGGAGGCCAATAGAAACTACTTACCTTACTAGGAAGGTTCAAGCGTTGGAGCAGAGCAGGTGGTCTGTCTTTCCATACTGTTCGGAGGCTTGTCAGGAGTCCTCTCGAAGCTCTTTGCCTTATCAGGCAATGCATGTGAGCGAAAACGCCCCAGCTTTCCATAATTAAGTGGGTCTAACCTGGACTCAATTAAAGTTAAAAACCAGGATGGTTCATGGTGCTCAGACCCTCATCCGCACATATCAGTTTTCTGTTTCAGTATGGCGACTGACTCGTTTCCACAACGCTTACCTACGCTGCATCGGCTTGGGGTCACTTATCCTTCCAATGTCTCCTCATCCGAGGTAGCCACCGAGTGGCTCAACGCTTTCTCAGTTGCAATAACTCAAAGTGATACCGCAGCTGTTGTCGACCTCTTTCTCGAGGATGGTTTCTGGAAGGACGTGATCGCACTGACATGGGATTTCAGGACATTCGAAGGAAGGGAGGACATCAAGAAACTCCTGGATGCTCGTCTCGTTGCTACGGGACTTAATGAACTGCGTCTCCTACAGGAGCCCTTGAATGAACCTGTTCTGCGAAAAATTTATCACGATTTAGTCTGGTTGCGGTTTTGCTTTGGTTTCACCACTAAACATGGCAAGGGTACTGCAGTCGTTTATCTCGTTCCCCTTCCAGATTCAAAGTGGAAGGCCTACACTCTGTTGACCTGTCTTGATTCGTTGACCAATTTCCCTCAAAAGGTGTGCAATCACATTCCTTCGAGAGCACTTAGTACTTACTGACTCTGCGGAAGCTCGGTCCCCTCAGAAACTGGGAGACTGATCATGGCAGTTGGGAAGAGAAGCGGCGCCAAGAGACTGAGTTCTCAAACAATGACCCAACGGTGATTGTCATCGGCGCGGGGCACAGCGGTCTGGAGACCGCGGCAGGCTTAAAGTACATCGGTGTACCCACGCTTGTCATTGATAAGAAGCCCAGGGTTGGGGATAGCGTTCGTCCCATCACAATTTTGGTATTCAAATATAGCTAAAGGCTCGAGGGCGGTTTCATAGTGGAGAGATCGTTACAAGGCTCTTTGTCTGCATACTACGATCTGTTCGTTCCTTTTCTTCTCCGGAAAGGGATCGACTAACAAACTTACAGGGCACAGTCAAACGCCTTACCTGAAGTGGGTGGTTTGTCAGAACTCCTTTGATTCTTTTGTAATCCAGTTTACAGCTTTCCACCAACATGGCCAGTTTACACCCCAGCCGCAAAAGTACAATATTACCCACATGATGAAATTCACTGATTCCAGCTATTGCAGCTGGCAGACTGGTTGGAAGCATACGCGAGTTTCCTTGAGCTCGACGTTTGGACGGCCTCGACGATCACCAAGACATCTTGGAACGATAGCACGAAAACCTGGTCTGTCGAAGTCAATCGCGGCGGTAAAGGTACCAGGATTCTGACCGTTAAGCACCTCGTTTTTGCCACTGGATTTGGTGGTCGCCCGCATGTTCCCGACATCCCCGGGAAGGTATGCTACGCTCGAACCAGTGATCTAAACGTGACTCATGGACGCAGGCAAGCTTCAAAGGGTCTGCCGTGCACTCATCAGAGTTCAAATCGGCGGCTGATTATATCGGTAAAACAGCAATCGTAGTCGGCTGTTGCAATTCTGGTCGGTCTGTCATACCTTTCATATCGAACGAGGTTTACATATTTCATCAGCACATGACATTGCTCAAGATTTCTGCAGTCACGGTGTCGACATCACAATGTGCGCTCTTTGGTTCAAGTTATGTCATTTTCATATCTCACGACATACTAGGTATCAACGATCGTCAACGTTCGTGATCTCGAAGGAGTCACTGGCAACAATGCTAGGCGGTAATTGTTCCCGTCGTTGTCGGTAGCTTGGGTTGACTTTCCTTGCCTAGTTGTCTATAATGACGACTTCCCCACTGAGCTGGCTGATACTTACACTACCTCGCTGCCTTGGGCAGTTGTTAGGCGGCTGCATCAACGTATGGTTCCTATGGTTGCTGGAACCACAGACAAGTACGTCGGACGAATCGAAGCTCACTTCCAGATGCATTGATTTCAATCGCAGGGCCATTCTAGATGGGTTGGCTAAGGTTGGCTTCAAGACCAATCTTGGCATACATGGAGCAGGTGTTATGTCCCTTTTCCTGGAGCGTGGTGGTGGCTACTACGTCGGTGGGTATACCTCTGATGCACGATGAAGATGTTTCTCAACAGCTTCCAGACACCGGAGCAAGTAAAGCTATTATCGACGGGGATATTAAGATCAAGAACGGTTCCGCAATTGAGTCCTTCACGAAAAACGGCCTTCGATTTGCTGATGGCACCGAGCTACAGGCAGATATAATAGTATTTGCTACGGGGTATGGTAATATTTTACCTTGACGAGCAGGACTCATAGTTGCTTACAGTTATGGCGATCCCCGTGACTTCATGCGCGAGGTCTGTGGAGATGAAGTCGCATCAAAAATCACCAGGGTCTGGGGTTTAGACAAAGAAGGGCAATCTGCGGGAGTGTTGAGGTACTGCGGGCACGATGGTCTGTGGTTCGCAAATGGTATTTTACGTCGTTCTTGTTATGGGCGCGTCAGTTTCATTTCGATGAACAGGTGGTTTTGCTCTATTGCGCTTCCACAGTCTCCATTTGGCCATGCGTGAGTTCCTTCCCTGTGGCAACAGAGCGTTGCTGATGATTAAAAATGTAGAAATCAAAGCCATAGAAGAAGGTATTTTGAATAAGGCGGATATAGTTATTTGATGACATTCGAAGATCTGCTCATGATCAGGGCTGGAAGAGCACTTATCGTGTAAATTAAAGGTTGTATGTACGATGAACCCAAGGCCGGAGCCTTCATACATGGAAAACAATATTTGTCTCGGACTGAAATACATGTCACCAATGTTTTAATATAGATATACAAGATGTTTCTGTACCCCAAACTCCCAGCCTAAGCTACTCCCTCTACAACAACAACACCGCAAAAGGACTGGTAGAAACAAGCAACCTGGACCAGAAACACGTCGAGCCCACCACGATCGACCCAACACAACCGCAGGCCCACTTCATCTAACCATCTACTAACCTTCTTGTTGCAGTCTTCCTTTTGTGCCTACTTGCATCGTCCTGCCAGACGGCGCAGGGAGTACGTTTTCGAATACACAGATATTATTAGTGCCACACCACCAAAAAAACATATATGAGGGAAACCATATGACGAGACATATTCAACATATAGGGTCTACGATCCCAAAGGACTCATTCTGATATATAAAAAGCTATTTCCCCAGCACCAGCCAGTTCCAGTTACAGAGATAACTGTCACGTTAATTAATCAGTATTCGCTTGCAGGTAACCCCACTTTGTTATGTCGTGCGCCGACATTTACAGCTCCGAATTCTGCTAGTCCTCTTGCAAGGCTCTCTGTGCGCCATGGGGCTTACAGGGTTGCAAATCTGTACATACTAGTATGGTAAGGAAAGTTTCCTGCTTTCATACTAAACAAGTCTACTCTAATCAGAATTCTTCATACCATATAGGATGTAGCCCACTACTTGCATTGTTCCATGGAACCGCCCTCCCGAGATACGATTCAGTAAGAGAATCTGAACTTTGACATTTATCCAATGCCTTCGACCACTATTAACGTCACCTTTTAGAAATGTTACCGATATGTTCCGCCTTCATGAAATCCGATTGGGTCAGGTTATTCCTGAAGACCAAGTAGAGGTAAATTGTGAAGGGATTTGAAGGTCATCTTAGCCAAACGCGGATCCGAAGTATGAACATAGAAGGGATGCCTCGTAAGTGCCAAGTTGGAAGGTATCCAAAGAACCTTGCTTCTTACGATACATCCGAGTTCGTGGCAAATAAAAGCCCTTGCGATTTTGACTAGATGATCCCTTCGACCATAACACCCGAATACTCACTCCAATTCCAACCATGCAGCTCACGCTCATTTTCACCACACTCGTTACATTTGCTGCTATTGCTGCGTCACATTCGACACCAAAATTGGTCAAAAAACATACTTGTGAGCACTGAGGGCCCGTGCCATTCTTGTCGGTGAGAGTGATGCTGATATGCTATGCAGCTCTGGCTAAACGCCAGGAACTTTCCTCCAACCTCATTGGTCATCTTAAACCCAGGCTTGAGATGCCCGATACACCTGATAAACCTGATGAACCCGACTCAGTTGACTTTGGCGATACGCCTGATACACCTAATTTTCTCGCGTCGTCTCCCCTCCCATTTCCTCATCCCGCCAGCTCCTCTGACTCTGACTCCTCCGACTCTGACGATAAGTCCGTCGATTCTGACTCCTCCGACTCTGATTCCGACGATAAGTCCGTCGCTTCTGACTCTTCCGACTCTGATTCCGATGACAAGTCCGTCGCTTCTGACTCTTCCGACTCTGATTCCGATGACAAGTCCGTCGCTTCTGACTCCGACGATAAGACCGCCGATCCTGATGCAAGCGGCGAAGCCGACGATGACGACGACATTGATAATGATGACACAGGGAGTGAGGAGCGCGGGATGCGCGAGGAGGCTGAATCTTCCCATGCCCACAAGAGAAGGTCTGACACAATAGACAGTGGCGACACGGGGCGTGAGGATGTTGGATCCCACTACATCCATGAGAGACGTCTCAACTCCCGCGTTGACTCTAAATCCGTTGTCTCTGACTCAACTGACGGAGGCGACGACAGCGACAGCGGTGACACGGGGCGTGAGGACGTTGGATCTCATCGCGTTCACAAGAGAAGCCCTAACTCCCGCGGCTTCAAGTCCTCCGTCTCTCATTCACCCGACGAAAGTGACAACAGTGACAGCGGCGACACAGGGCGCGAGGATGTTGGGTCTCATTACGTTCACAAGAGAAGCCCCAGCCTCCGCGACCCTAAACCCTCCGCCTCTCATTCAACCGACGAAAGTGATAACAGCGACAGCGGCGACACAGGGCGCGAGGATGTTGGGTCTCATCACGCTCACAAGAGAAGCCCCAACCCCCGCGACCCTAAATCCTCTGCCTCTCATTCAACCGACGAAAGTGATAACAGCGACAGCGGCGACACGGGGCGCGAGGATGTTGGATCTCATTACGTTCACAAAAGAAGCCCCAACTCTCGTGATCCTAAATCCTCCGCCTCTCATTCAACCGACGAAAGTGACAACAGCGACAGCGGCGACACGGGGCGCGAGGATGTTGGATCTCATTACGCTCACAAGAGTTCCAACTCCCACAACTCCAAGTCCTCTGCCTCTCATTCACCCGATGAAAGTGACAACAGTGACAGCGGCGATACAGGGCGCGAGGATGTTGGGTCTCATCACGTTCACAAGAGTTCCAACTCCCACAACTCCAAGTCCTCTGCCTCTCATTCACCCGACGAAAGTGACAACAGTGACAGCGGCGATACAGGGCGCGAGGATGTTGGGTCTCATCACGTTCACAAGAGAAGTTCCAACTCCCGCAACTCCAAGTCCTCTGCCTCTCATTCACCCGACGAAAGTGACAACAGCGACAGCGGCGACACGGGGCGCGAGGATGTTGGATCTCATTACGTTCACAAGAGAAGTTCCAACTCCCGCGACTCCAAGTCCTCTGCCTCTCATTCACCCGACGAAAGTGACAACAGCGACAGCGGCGACACGGGGCGCGAGGATGTTGGATCTCATTACGTTCACAAGAGACGTTCCAACTCCCGCGACTCTAAGTCCTCCGTCTCTCATTCAACAGACGAAAGCGACAACAGTGACAGCGGCGACACGGGGCGCGAGGACGTTGGATCTCACCGTGAGCACAAGAGAAGTAAGTCATTAAAGGCCTGGTGGATCACAATGTATAACACCTGTCACACCAGAGGCTTTTGTTTACCGTCTCAAGCACGAAATGCGCTACAACTAGGCAATATATCCGAGAGAGGTATTGATTTTCTTCTTCTTGCATTACTATGAAGTCTTATTGCTCTTTAGCTTTCGAATTAGGAAAGGGTTGCGAGAAGACGTATTGAGTTTATGTAGGAACTTTCACGGTCATGCAAGCATTATATCTAGCTTGAGCTCCATACACGTGATGTCGTGACTCCCGAATAGGCGACGAGAATGGGCCTTGGAAATTTTCGCCCATCACCTTGTAATTTTCAAGTTCTCCTCAGGCCTGAGGTCATGTTGACACAGCATTCAAAAGAAGATTCGTGCCATTATGGTGAATACAAATATAATTGTCATGTTTTAATGCAACCTTGGAGTCGGACCACACACCCTTCGCAACTCCTCAGGCCTCAGGCCTCATACATTTTGAAGAGCCAAGCTTGCTGGTGGGTATCGATATATCGATGAGTCGCGATGAAACAGCTCAAGACTACACCCTGAGTGAACTCATGTTTTGCCTTCAAATGACTCATTCGATCACATTTCTAATTTAGTTCCAATCAAAACTAAGCTCATAGGTTTTGTCAGCCTTGCACAGCGAAACACAGACTAGCTAGTGTGACAGTGTCTCTATGTAGACTGATCTTGGGGGCAGTGGGGGTGTTCCGCGACACTTAATATGATCTTGGTTGTTGCCAATTTGACAGTCGAAACTTAGTTCAGCAACTTCAGCTTGTCCTTGAGGGACATTTTCGACTATAATCATGATATCTTTGCCCGAAGCTTCGCTTTTAGCGTTGTTCCTGGAGACTTTGTTTTACGGTGCGTCACCAACCTCCAAAAGAAGGTATAATATCTAATTTCTTCCCTCATGTAGGCGTGTTCTTCACTTGTTACTGGTTGACCCTGGGCATACTGCTCAAGAAGTATGGTATTCAACGGGACCTCCTTCTCCCGGTAGCAACCTTGCTGCTTTGCATTGCAACGGCTGTAAGTGTAATCACACCCTTTGGGAAAACAGCTCAACAACGTCGTAGCATCTAATTATCGATTTCGTTCGAGCGCTAGAGGCGTTCGTTCTCAACGTGGATACAATCGGCGCGGATGCCTACTACTCCAACCTCGCTTCACCGTTAGGACTCGCAAAAACCGCACTTTACGTCACGCAGCCCACTGTCGCTGATAGTGTCCTTGTGAGTTTCTTCACTTGCCATATCGTTCTCCCTTGAATATGGCAGTAGGTTTGGCGATGCTATGTGCTCAACAATAGAAGCCTCTTGGTCGGCATTCCTGGTTGTATTGTGCTGTTGGCCAATGGAGGTAAGCATCTCGTCGAAAGATATCATTCGAGGACCACCTCATCTCACGATATTTTGCAGCGATTGGGTACTATATTGTCTGGTGCCTTTCTCGAACTGTCGCAGGGACGAGTATTTATACCACCATTCCTGGGTTGATCACAACTTTCTACATATTGACCATGCTTATCAGTATCGTTTGCACTAGTACGTTTATTCTATGGCTAATCTGCAAGCTCATGATGACCAGGATATGACAGCTTTGATTTCCTGGCGCATCTGGCGCAGTCGCCGTTCCATCTCAGGCGGCTCCGCTGATCTTTTACCCGTGATGATCGTCATTGTCGAAGGCGGTGCTATATATGCTACCAGTGTCCTGGCACTCCTTCTAGCATTCTTGACGGGATCAAACGGTGAATACCCCGCGATGGATATTGGCCCTCCTGTTGTGGTGAGTTTACTTGGCTAAAACACGACTGTTTGTAAGACTTTTCTTTAGGGAATCGTATTCTGCCTCATCATCCTGCAAGTACACTTCTGTGTGGGTAACAACCCCCAACCCCACAGCCCATCAAAATCCTTCACCAATCTCTTTGGAGAACAAGGAGAGCAGAACGTGGGCTATGGCATAGAACAGATGATTGAGGAGACAGATCGTTCAGTTTGACGTGCCAACGACTCTCAGGAGATGAAGTACTGTTGATTGTTTTGCGGGCGTATGCTTACTAATGTCCATATATCCTCTCATTAATATTGGTCTTCTGCTGCAAACCAGTCCATGCCTGCCACCCTCAACTGCAAGATCATTCCCATTGATGCTACTGGTAAGCGAAAATGTTGCCCACGAGAGTTTGAACCCAAGTTTGAGCTAGTACCTGAGAGGTATGCTACTTGGGATACCGAGTCGCTCCGAAGAGATCAGGGTACTTCAGAGCGACACTTAATTCACTTTGGCAAGGCCTGAGCGCCTGGGATCGCGCTTAGGCCACACTGTAGATTATTTCCTGTTGACCATGGATACAAAAATCTTATGTGACTACTGTATATAGGCAGTGTCAATACAAGTGAAAATCGTTCAAAGCATCTGCTCATACGTCTACGATATCTCTAGTGTCCTGATGTCAATTATGTCGCGAACAGAAGTCATGTCTTTAACTTGCGCAACGATATCCCGATTCGAGGCGATTCTCTTGTATTCTCCGCTGTGTTGCCGTGCTGACAAAAATGCGCTGGATGGCTGTCCATGGCGAACAATCAATCATAATGCCCGCGAATGAGAATCGGTATCAACCGGCTCATTTTCTCCAAAAGAAAAGGCGAGCGAATTGAATGACGGAGAGCTAGGAGCAGCCAAAAATTTCATGTTCTGCATATCATCTGAAGGATTGGGCAGCTCGAGTAGGCCAACAGAGTTAGGAGAGTGAGGTTAATCAGAAACGAGGCTCGGGCGCTTCAGTTGTACAACCTGCTAGAAGCTGTGAAGCGAACACGAGGACATGCCAGCTCAAACTTCCAGTGCGCTTTTGACCCAACGCTTGTTGTGTCTTGGTATCAACACGTCGTGACCTGCTGAGGAACATATCGTTGTAAGTGATGATTTTGAACTTTGTCGGATGAAAGCTGAAACAGAGCTCTGCCTAGATGTCTTCACCCTTCGTTGAAATACAGGAGACCACGAGGATAAAGCCTCGCCAGAGATTTGAGGGACACACCAGTTGGGTCTGCGGTACCATACATCTACCAGGCGGACAACGAATAATGACTTGTTCATGGGACGGCTCGCTGCGGGTATGGAACTTGAAGAATGGGAAACAGATAGGAGACGACTGGCGGGACGGAGACAGTCCAGTGTACACCATAGCGTTGTCTCCGGACGGGAAGAAAGTGGTCAGCGGGAGTGGGGATGGCGGAGTGAGGTTGTGGGACATGGACACAGGCAAAGTCATTGTGAAATGTATGGGGCATACAAAGGCAGTGTTTTCTGTCTGCTGGAGTGGAGATGGTCAGCGAGTCTTGAGCGGATCCTCCGATGGGACTGCAAGACAATGGGATGTAGAGAGCGGGGAGGCAAACCTCAAGACAGGGCACGAATCCGTGTTTGCAGTCGTCTACTCGCCAGACATGACCATGTTTGCAACTGGTGGATACGAACAATCTATCACGATCTGGGATGCTAAGACAGACAAGCTTGTCGCTAGTACTCTTGGAACTGATTTGGTGCGGTGTCTGGCTTGGACTCAGGATGGGAAAACGCTTATACTATCAGGGTCGGCCGATAACTCGATTAGGACATGGAGTACTACCACTTGGAAACAGATCGCAGTGTTGGATGCGCACACTTCTTTGGTCGAATCCATTGCAATATCTCCGAATGGCCGCATCCTCGCAAGTGCGTCATATGACAAGACAGCACGATTATGGAACCTCGACAACAACCAGCCCATCAGTTCGCCCCTCTACCATGCGAATTGGGTGAATTCTGTGTCATTTTCAGCAAATGGAAAGCTACTGGCCACTGGCTGCGAGGACAATAATGCGTACACTTGGGATGTTTGTGGGATACTAAAAGAAGCTGGCCTTAGCGAACTTCTGTTGGACAAGCAGGTCCGCGTCACTTTTTATCATCAGGTCCTATTTGCTGATATCCTATCGCAATTGAATCTATTCCTTCTAGGCTGATGCTACACCACGTCCAGTCCGTCAGCAAATCATCGTCCCCCAGCGCCGGGTACCCCATGGTTTTTTTGACGACATACCAGATCGGGCTCACGTACGTCATTAACGTCTAATCCAGTGCTGTTTTTCCTGACTTGCATGTTCTCAGCATGCATCGCATGCAAGCACCCTTCGTGACCGCCTTTCCTCTTTATTCCGCCCCATACACTCCGACGCCTACGATACAGCTTCGCGACCCCGCCCTTTCCGCTGGGCTCGAAGTCGACTCTCTGGCAGACTAGCCGGTAAAGATAGCGAGCTTCGCGAGCATCCCTCAGCAGTCGTCGATGTTCCGTGTGCCCCGGGCAAACGTGTATGTAGTCTTCCTCCTTCTTGAATATCCAAACCCCATCTCATACAACACAGAGGAACGCATGTGCAAGAGAAAGACCGATGAAAATCATTCCATTGAAACCTGGGAACCCTGCTGCAAGCACCTCAGGTCCTCCCAATAGCAATACCACACAACACTTTAATGGCGCGTCTCAAGCCCAGTCTTCGCAAGCACAGGCTGCTGTCTCCCCTTCCATCGCACCTCCCGCCGTCACCAATACACCTTCAAGCGCCAATCCTCATGTAACAATAAGACATGCTGGACGCTGGACTCGCTTCTGGCTCTTTATTTGTTGCACCTCTACTGAGTATACCCATGATCATCAGTAATGTATGTTTCCTTGTCCTTTATGAAGGATATCTCACATCTCATCCTTCGAGTACATAAAATGGAGTCATAAATTTAAGGAACACTTTATATACCACGATCGATTCTATGTTTTTGTTGTTGCCAACAAGTCTTCACTAACCAGGAAAGCGACTCTCCCGCGTACTAAAAATAAAAATAAAACACTTGCATTTGCGTGCCCCAGAAATGATACATATGTAGATTAGCTCCGGTGACATCAAGTAGGTAGCGAAACAGTCTACTCAGCCGACAGAAACACCTGCATACAAGCCACCAATGCTTCTCGATACGTCTCGAAAGCCATCTTTTCCAACCTCAATACATGTCGAACCAATGTTAGTCACTAGGAGCTCGTTCTTGGCGAGTTTTGAAACCCTTGTTTGTTTCTTCTCCTTTGTATGAAATTCCATCAAACACGGGAGACGAAATTCTCTTTAAAACGCGATGACATATCCAAAACGAGGATACTCACCGGTATAAACCTTCGGGAGCTTCTCAACCGCACCCAGCACTTGACCGACGAGACGATCCGCTCTGCACAGCGTAGGATCAAACATGGTGGGAATACCAATCAGTCCTCCCGAAACTGCAAGCTGCAAGCGATTGTTCTCAGCGTGCAGAGAGACAATCCTGCTGGAAACAGGCTTGCACGGTTCCGGCCCTGGGTGTTTTTCATTACGATCCCGGACAAATCTTGATTTCCTACCCTAACCCGTGAGAATGAAACCACCAGCAACACCAGCTTTGAGCTCGCGGACCTCAGCACCAGGTTTGTTGACATCGAAGGAACGGATGAGACTGGGATCGAAAAGCAAAGTCGCGGACAGGATAGGTAGACAATGACAGCGTCGGTGTTATGTTTCGGTTGCATAAAGAAACGATGAGTGACGACCGTGCCTGTTACGAGAATTAATACAACATTGGATGATCCATGCGCCACCGAAGACCTACCCTTAATAAATACAACAATTGCTTTTGAGCTCAAGAGCCTGATCAAGTCGACCTTGTTCTGCAAAATATGGATGCTTCCCAGCTTCATGATTTCAACCCTGGCAAAGTGCTCCGATGTCTGCGGCCGAGGGCATGTTTCGTTTCCTGCGATTAGAAGCAGAACAGCGTCCATGACAAGATCGAAAAGAATGCGCGAGGACGAGATCATCTGCAAGACATAGCAAAGGTGGTGAGGCGCAATTTGGTGTACGGATCGACAGTAAACAAGGGAGTTAGGATAGTGAAGTCGACGAGAAACAAGGCTTGGGCGCTTTAGTTGCACAGCCTGTTAGAAGCTGTGAAGCGAACCCGTCAAAATCCCAGGGCACTTTTGACTTAGCGCTCTTTGTGTCTTGGTATCAACATGTCGTGACTTGCAGAGGAACATATCGTTGTAAGTGATGATTTTGGACTTTACCAGATGAAAGCTGAAACGGAGCTCCGCCTAGATGTCTTCACCCATTGTTGGAAGACAGGAGATCTCGAGGATAAAGCCTCACCGGAATTTTGAGGGACACACCAAATGGGTCCGCGGCGCCATACATCTACCAGGCGGAGAACAGATAATGACCTGTTCGTCAGATGGCTCGCTGCGGGTATGGAACTTGAAGAGTGGGAAACAGATAGGAGAAGACTGGCGGGACGGTGATAGTCCAGTGTGGACCATGGCGTTGTCTCCGGACGGGAAGAAAGTGGTCAGCGGGAGCGAGGATGGCAGAGTGAGGTTGTGGGACATGGACACAGGCAAAATCATCGTGAAATGGATGGGGCATACAAGACCAGTGATTTCTGTCTGCTGGAGTCGAGACGGTCGGCGAGTCTTGAGCGGATCTGACGATGGGACTGCAAGACAATGGGATGTAGAGAGCGGAGAGGCATACCTCGCACCAATCAAGACGACATGGCACCAACACGTGTTGGCAGTGGTCTACTCGCCAGACATGACCATGTTTGCAACTGGTGAAGCCAAACGAGCTTTCATCAAAACTTGGGATGCCAAGACAGGCGAGCTTGTTGCTACTCTTGAAGCAGCTGATTCGGTGTGGTGCCTGGCTTGGACTCAAGATGGAAAGACGCTTATATCAGGGCTCCGCGATGGCTCGATTAGGACATGGAGTACTACAACTTGGAAACAGATCGCAGTGTTGGATGGTCACACTGACCCTGTCGAATCCATTGCAATATCTCCGAATGGCCGCATACTCGCAAGTGCATCCTTTGACAAGACAGCACGATTATGGAACATGGACAACAACCAACACATTGGTTCGCCCCTCCAGCACCCAGATTACGGGAGTTCTGTATCGTTTTCAGCAGATGGAAAGCTACTAGCCACTGGCTGCTTCGACAATAATGCGTATACATGGGACGTTTGTGGGATACTAAAAGAAGCTGGCCTTAGCGAACTTCTGTTGGACAAGCCGCCGGTCTTTGCTGTACGTGACACTTTATCATCAGGTCCTACCCCATCGCAATTGAACCTATTCCTTCTAGGCTAATGCTACACCACGTCCAGTCCGTCAGCAAATCATCGTCCCCCAGCGCCGGGTGCCTCATGGTTTTTTTGATGACTTACCAGATCGGGCTCACGTACGTCAATGTTAGTGTCTAATCCAGTACTGTTTTTCCTGACATGTTCTCAGCACGCATCGCATGCAAGCACCCTTCGTGACCGGTTTTCCTCTTTATTCCACACCGACGCCCACAATACTTCTTCGCGACCCCGTCCTTTCTACTGGGTTCGAAATCGTCTCTCTGGCAGATCAACCGGTGAAGATACCGAGCTCCGCGAGCGTCCCCCAGCAGTAGTCGATGTTCCGTATGCCAAGGGCAAACGTGTATGTCGTCTTTTCCTTCCCGAATATTCAAAACCCATCTCATACAACACAGAGGAACGCATCAGCAAGAGAAAGACGAATGAAAATAATTACATTGAAACCTGGGAACACTGCCGCAAGCACCTCACGTCCTCCCAATAGCAATACCACACCACACTCTAATGCAACTCAAGCCCTATCTTCGCAAGCACACGCTGCTGTCTCCACTGCCTCCGCACCTCCCGTCGTCACTAACACAACGCCAAACACCAATCCTCATGTAACAATAAGACACGCTGGACGATGGACTCGTTTTTGGGTCTCTATATGCTGTTCCTCTTCTGAGTATACTGACGGTCATCATTAATCTATTCTTCGTCTCTCAAAGATATTCTTTGTCGTCTCTTATCATTCTGTTGTGCTTCCACTGATCACGAGTATACCCATGATCACCAGTGATATCTCCCGTCCATTTTCCTGTCCTTCATGAAGATCTCTCCCATCTCATCTTTCAAATGAAGACATAAAGTCGTTTATCGCACCCTTTACATACCACGATCGATTCTATTTTTTGTCTTTGCCAACAAGCCTTCAAGCCTTCACCGACCAGGAAAGCGACTCTTCCCAATAAACATGTATACTACTGAAATGAAAAACACTCGCATTTGCGTGCTTCAGAAATGATACATATGTAGATTGGCTCCGATCACATCAAGTAGGTAATGAATCAGTCTACCGAGTGGACAAAAATACTTGCCTACAGGCCGCTAGTTAGGGAGCAGGGACACACTGATTTCTAGCTCTAGATTCTCTTAGAACCCAAAACGAGGATGCTCATCAGTACACATCTTGGGAACTTCCAGACCGCACCTAGCACTTGGCGAACGAGACGATCCGCTCTGCACAGGTAGTATCAATATTGGTCCGAATACTAATCAGCTCTCCCGGAACTGCGAGCGATTTTCTCGGCGTGCAGAGAGACGATCCTGCTGGAAATGGACCTGCATGCTCCCAGCCCTGAGTGTCCTTCGTTACAATACCCGGACAAATCTTGACTTCTTGCTCTAGTCCATAGGACATCTATAAGGACAGAATCACTGGCGACACTGCCTTTGAGCTCATCGACCTCTGCACCGGGCTTGTTGACGTCGAAGGAACGGACAACGATGAGACAGGGATCGGAAGCAAAGTCGTGGACTGGGATATATAGATGCTTTGCAATGATTTCGTTGACAGCGTCGATGTCGGATTTCAGTTGCATATCGGAACGATGAGCGACGACTCGACCACCATGCCCGACGCGATACAACATTGGATGATCCATGCTGACTCACCCTTGACGAATGTAGCGATTGATGTTTGTTGCTCAAGAGCTTGATGAAGTCGACCTTGTTCTGGAAAATTTTCCAGCTTCGTTCAACCCTGGCCAAGTGCTCCAATATCTGCGGCCGGGGGCAAGTTTCGTTTACTGCGATTAGAAGAGCAGCGTCCATGACGAGATCGAAAAGAACACGTGAGGACAAGATCATCTGCAAGACATAGCAAAGGTAGTGAGGCGCAATTTGGTGTATGGACCGACAATGAACATGGGAGTTAGGACGGTGAGGTTGATCAGAAACGAGGCTTGGGCGCTTCAGTTGCACAGCCTGCCAGAAGCCGTGAAGCGAACACGAGGACATCCCAGTTTAAACTTCCAGTGCACTGACGCTCATTGTGTCTTGCTGTCAACACGTCGTGACCTGCTGAGGAATATATATCGTTGTAAGTGGTGATTCCAAACTTTGTGGGATGAAAGCTGAAACGAAGCTCCGTCTAGATGTCTTCACCCATCACGATCGTTGGAAGGGAGGAGACCTCGAGGATAATGCCTCGCCAGAAATTTGAGGGACACACCAGTTCGGTCCTCGGTGCCATACATCTACCAGGCGAACAACGGATAATGACTTGTTCAAGGGACGGCTCGCTGCGGGTATGGAACTTGAAGAGTGGGAAACAGATAGGAGACGACTGGCGGGACGGAGACAGTCCAGTGTACACCATAGCGTTATCTCCGGACGGGAAGAAAGTGGTCAGTGGGAGTGAGGATGGCGGAATAAGGTTGTGGGACATGGACACAGGCAAAATGATCATAACATGGATGGGGCATACAGAGGCAGCGAATTCTGTCTGCTGGAGTCGAGACGGTCAGCGGGTCTTGAGCGGATCTGACGATGGGACTGCGAGACAATGGGATGTAGATCAGAGCGGAGAGGCAAACCCCGCAGCAATCAAGACGGGGCACAAATCTGTGTTTGCAGTCGCCTACTCGCCAGATATGACCATGTTTGCAACTAGCGCATCCGAAGATTCCGAACACCCTGCTAAAATTTGGGATGCCAAGACAGGCAAGCCTGTCGCCACTCTTGAAACTCCAGCTGATTCGGTGTGGTGCATGGCCTGGACTCCGGATGGAAAAACGCTTATATCAGGGTTATACAATTCCTCGATTACGACATGGAGTACTACAACTTGGAAACAGATTGCAGTGTTAGATGGGCACACTGAAACTGTCGAATCCACTGCAATTTCTCCGAATGGCCGCATCCTCGCAAGCGCATCACATGACGGTACAACACGATTATGGAACCTCGACAACAACCAGCCCATCGGTCCACCCCTCCAGCATCGATATCCTGCATATTACGTGACTTCTGTGTCATTTTCGGCAGATGGGAAGCTACTAACCACTGGCTGCCTCGACAAAAATGCGTATACATGGGATGTTTGTGGGATACTAAAAGAAGCTGGCCTTAGCGAACTTCTGTTGAACAACTTACAAGCCAGTCCTTGCTGTACGTGACACTTTTTTATGATCAGGTCCTATTTGCTGAGATCCTATCGCAATTAAACTCATTCCTTGTAGCTAGGCTGATGCCTACTATATGCTGTTCCTCTTCTGAGTATACTGACAGTCATCATTAATCTACCCTGTTTCTTTTTTCGTCTTTCAAAGATCTCCTTTGTCATTCCGTTGTGCTTCTACTGATTATACCCATGATCATCAGTAATATATTCCGTCCGTTTTCTCGTTAAATACATATGTACATTAGCTCCGATCACATCAAGGAGGTGCCGAATCAGTCTACTAAGTCGACAGAAACACTTGCCTACAAGTCGCCAATGCTTCTCGATACATGTCAGAAGCACGACCTCCTCTCCAGCCTCAGTACAACCTTCGACGAAGGCCCAGAAAACGGCAGAGGAGGAACAAAATGATCTCAAGTTCTGGATTCTGTCGGAACGCGAAAGCATATCGAAAACGAGGATGCTCACCAGTATCGACTTTTGAAAGCTTACAATCGCACCCAACACTTGACCGACAAGACGATCCGCTCTGCATAGCGTAGGGTCAATCTTGGTCCGAATACCAATCAGTCCTCCCGAAAATGCAAACTGCGAATGATTGTTCTTAGTGTGCAGAGAGACGACCCTGCTGAAAATGGGCTTGCACGGTTCCGACCCTGAGTGTCATTTGTCACGATCTCCAGACCAATCTTCACTTCTTGCCCTAGCCCGTAGGACGTCTGTGAGGATGGAACATCGCTTTTGAGCTCATCGACCTCAGCAGCAGACATGTTGACGTCGAAGGAACGGATAACGATGAGACAAAGATCGGAAGCAAAGTCGCGGACCGGGATAGGTATACGCTTTATAATGTATTCGTTGACAGTGTCGATGTCGTATTTCGGTTGCATATCGGAACGATGAGTGACGACTTGACCACCGTGACTGTTACGAGAATTAGTACAACATTAGATGATCCATGCCACCGAGGACCCACCCTTGACGAATGCAGCGATTGATTTTTGGTGCTCGAGAGCCTGATCAAGTCGACCTTAATATTGATGCTTTCCAGCTTCATTCAACTCTGGCCAAGTGCTCCGATGTCTGCGACCGAGGGTATGTTTCGTTTACTGCGATTAGAAGAGCAGCATCCACGACGAGATCGAAAAGAATACGTGAGGACAAGATCATCTGCTTGCAAAGGTAGTGAGGCGCAATTTTGTGTATGGACCGACAATGAACATGGAAGTTAGGACGATGAGGTTGACACAGCGGGAAAACTGACATTTTACCACCTTTTGCCGCCAGTGAAATTAAATTCTAAAGGTAATCCAGAGTGCTCTAGAACGCTCTAGGCTAGGTCTGGAATGGTCTAGCCAGGTCCAGATTTGCTTTTGATTGAAATCTTGCAAGAGGTAAAACGTTGAAACCCCCGATGTGTGATCAGAAACGAGGCCTGGGTGCTTCTGTTGCACAGCCTGCCAAAGGCTGTGAGGCGAACACGAGGACGTCCCAGTTTAACCTCCAGTGCACTGACGCTCATTGTGTCTTGCTGTCAACACGTCGTGACCTGCTGAAGAATATATATCGTTGTAAGTGGTGATTCCAAACTTTGTGGGATGAAAGCTGAAACGAAGCTCCGCCTAGATGTCTTCACCCATCACGATCGTTGGAAGGGAGGAGACCTCGAGGATAATGCCTCGCCAGAAATTTGAGGGACACACCGGCTCGGTCTTCGATGTCATACATCTACCAGGCGGACAACGGATAATGACTTGTTCAAGGGACGGCTCGCTGCGGGTATGGAACTTGAAGAATGGGACACAGATAGGAGACGACTGGCGGGACGGAGACAGTCCAGTGTACACCATAGCGTTATCTCCGTACGGGAAGACAGTGGTCAGCGGGAGTATGGATGGCGGAGTAAGGTTGTGGGACCTGGACACAGGCAAAGTGATCATGAAATGGATGGGGCATACAGAGGCAGTGAATTCTGTCTGCTGGAGTCGAGACGGTCGGCGGGTCTTGAGCGGATCCGACGATGGGACTGCAAGACAATGGGATGTAGAGAGCGGAGAGGCAAACCCCACACCAATCAACGCAGGGCACAAATCCGTGTTGGCAGTCGTCTATTCACCAGACATGACCATGTTTGCAACCAGCGTATCCGAAGATTCTGAACACTGGCATGCCAAAATTTGGGATGCCAAGACAGGGAAGCTTGTCGCCACTCTTGAAACAGCTGATTCAGTGTTGTGCCTGGCCTGGACTTCGGATACAAAAACACTTATATCAGGGCCATTCGATGGCTCGATTAGGATATGGAGTACTTCAACTTGGAAACAGATCGCAGTGTTGGATGGGCACACTGAAACTCATCTGCAAAACCACTGAAATGAACGCTTAACTTACGCGCGTTACGGACACTTACGAATGCTTATGACTTCACTAGCGAACTCATGCGATTGGTGGAGATCCATTTTACTGTTATTATTTTATTTCGTCGTTATAAACTTACAAAAGATGGACAACCAAATATTTTTTATCAACGATAATATTTTGCAATCTCAAAGATAAGATAGATAAAACAGACGTGTTGAACCGCAAGCTGAGACTACGACAAAAATGTAACTAGTGCAAGTCTGAGCACAATGCATGATATATCTCCTTGTCCGAGAAATTGTTCAGGTAAAAGTGTTCATACAACTCCATACTTGTTGCTGCACCCACCGTACGGTCAGCTCCTGCGCCATACATAGGAATAAGCTCTACTGCATGTGTGACATCTGTGAGAGGGATAACTGCACCCAATCTCATCCTCTGACCGTCGGGCCCGTTATGATATTGTCGAGCTACCATATACATGCTGATGGCAGGTTCGTCATGCGGATGGCCAACGATCTCATAATACTGCACGTAAATGAGTGGTTGATCTGCGAGGTAATGGGGAAGCGTGCCGTGGAGAGGCGGAATTGGCTGGAAGATAGCCCGCACTTGCGCGACAATATTTACTATGTAAACCAGTGAGTGACGTGTATGTAGGAATAGATAAACCTTACCTGTCCGGTCACCATGTACTGACTGCGCAACAACTGCATCACAATTTCCCAGAGGGAATGTTTGTGACGGCGGAGCAGCTTGAACGACTTGACTGGGCATAATCAGCCGCGAGCAAAAAACGGAATGTAATTGCAATCGAAATTTATTCCATGTCTTGACGCGACCATGACCACTGCTCCATGATGCTAGAGGTTGACCGTTAGAAGCCTTTGCGATGTAGTCAGATAGCGCTTGTCCAAAATCTGGCAATACGTAGAGCTGCTGAACTTCATTAATGGACATTTTGGCTCGATCAGGAGCGACGGTAACGTGGAAGGCAGTCGTTGCAGTGGAAGAAAGTATGCCCTTCAGAAAATGGTTTTGAACTGGACGAGGTCCGACAAAACACCGTTGATTCGGATCACCAGGTGCGATGCGGGCAATCCATGCAAGAGCAGGATTGGTTTCAGTAATCTCTTGCTCTTCTGTGACTATGGCATTGGTGAGGGGGGCGTTGTGCATCCGCAGGAAGAGGTACAACTGAAATCACCGCATTGATTCTTCGCGGTTGAGAATATCGACAATCTGCTCTGTAAAGGTGCATGACTGACGGGATGTCCTGTCAAAAGGAAGCTTGCAATGAGTGATGAGAAGGCGCTCGGTCACGTGTGCAGTCCATTGGATGAGGGCACCTATGTCCTTGGTGAACACAGCAAAACTCTGCAAAAGCTCGAGTTTTGGGATAAGAAAGTTGTCGATCGTTCCTTTGGTGCCTCGTCTAGCTCCTGCATCTAAGATCGCTTGCTTATGATCATGGAATTCTTTGAGAGATGCGACCATGGAATCAACGGAGGTATCAGTATAAACAGGGTTTTGGGCCTTGTAAATGAAGTCGATTAAAGCGCGAATTGCATGAATGAACTGGGGAGGTGTGACCCCGGCAATGGAAGGAACCAAGGTACGTTGCAAGTCCCGGTGTTCCCGGCCAGTCATTTGTTTCATCTGACGTACTCCAGATGAAAAATGGCGCATGCCTACTCGCTTGTGGTGGCTTCGAAATCGGGCATCGAGCTCGTCCTTGCCCACCAGTTCTTTGGACCACTTGAATGGATGATCAAAGAAGAATTTATGGCAGGTATGGAGGATTTCTCCTGATAAGAAGCGAGCAGGATCTGCGAACCGCCAATTCCGCCAAAATGGTTGGTGAACACCACTCAGTGAATGAGCCTTAGCTTCCTCCTGAAATTCTCGCAACCTCCATGGATCAATGTGTTGGCAGATGTCGTATATCACCGAAAGGGTGTGTTCTTTCGTGCATGGTGCATAGCGATAACTGTCGCCAAAGGATTGGGATGTGGCCAACGTGATGGGAGAAGCGACTTTTGAGACACATGCTATGGCTTGTTGCTCAGGCAAATCTGCAGTGTAAGCAGCCAAAGGTGTGTAGCAGTGTCGTAAATGGCCAGACAAATCGGGCATAAACTTGCCTGCCATGGCTGTAACCTTGACATCTGCGAAGATAATATCCATGCACTTGTGGAATAGCCGTTGACTCAAGATAGTTTGGTAGTCAGTATGGACGTCGGAAAATTTTGGAATCGGCATGAAACCAACACATCGCCAAGCATGGCTTGTTGCTCTTATCCGCACGTCAGACTGAATGTTGGCGAGTGAGACAAATATAGGATGCATTTCGAGCCCTCCAGTGTGTCGCGTCACGGGCGTCTTGTCAGATGCAATAATTACCGGAACTATGGTAGCGCCTTTGGGGAGCTGATCCTGTACGAAAGCATCAATCAACCACTACAAATAAGTGCATAGAATCTTACTTGAATCTCAAATGCCTGTTTTGCTGTAAAATATTCACTATACTCGCGCTCGTCACCATCAACCACAACGTGCGGGTCATATGTCATATGGTTCACGAAGATTGGATTAGCAAACAGATCTTCTACCACATCTAAGCCATTGCGCCAGATGAGCTGTATTGGTTGAATTGTTGGGTATCCTGTTATTTCGAGTGTCGTTGAACGCCATTTTGGTCCGGTAGGAAGAGAAGCCATCCATGCAAGTAGCTGGTCTTTTGAGCTGAATGATGGTTTAGCTTGGCGAACCTGTGCTCTGGAAATTAGTCCTGCATGTACATAGAGGAACTTCACACCAAACGAACCCATTCAAGCTTGAGAAACCGGTCAATATCACTTTGTGTGAGGCGTTCACAGAGGAATTTTCCAAGCTCAAATTCTGCTTGGTCTTGAAAGGGGTAAAATGGAGTGTGACATCGCCGATAAGCAAACTGGTCACTTTCCATGGCCTCAGGGATATTGGGTGCCTTTCCGAATATGTAGCCAGAAGATGGGTGGTAGCGTCCCAAGATGTCGTCTTTGCCTGCTTCTTTGATAGACCGAAGGAATGCGGGTGGGACAGGAATATAATGATCTTGTACTTCAGGCCAGCAACCATTTTCTTGCTGCAGGTGTTCTAATACTGCCTCGTTCGAGGGTAGGTCGATCAGACACTGGGGGCATTTTGCAGAAGATGATCTGCCAGTTGGTTCAGACTGTCACTAAAGTGAGTACATTCAAGAAACAAATCTTACAAATCGGCATCAAGAACAAACTGCCCAGATTGTCCTCGCTGAGGGTTGGACGGTACAAAAGCATGATTGACCTGCATGCTAGCGGTATACTTACACTGGCTGGTATTGCGACTGCACAGACGAAAGTCTTCCGAGTTCTTCAAACTCCGCCCTCTTGTTGGCACTTACTCTCATCACATTGTAACCCCCCTCAGATTAGCCAGAAAACCAGGTATGTATTGCATATCTATATCAGCCAAGATATTGACGTTATTGGCAGCATTAATATGGGCGCTTACACTGAGCGATCCACACCTCCTCTGTCTGACTGCGAGACTACAAGCTCAACTCGTGTTGACATATCCTCGCCTCCCTTTGCTCGAGCTGGTTCCAAGCTACCATCTCATCGCAAATTGTCCAGTGTTAGCTCTCCCCCGAACTCTGAATGTTCAACCAGTTCCCGTGCCAGGGAGAAACTAGTTCACCGTAGCTGCAGCTGCAACCGCCTCCCCTTGGTAGGCCCTATTACGAAGCGAGACCGTCTGTCTCACTTCCGTGAACAATTGCGTGCCTGGTACAAACCGCGCATAGTTCATCAGTGTTAAGACCGTGCACAAAGGGTAGGACTGATTCTGAGGGGCTTGGCTTCAGCTCGTGCGCTGCGCCCCTTACCCGAGTATGTGCCCTTAATTTCAGAATGATGTCCGAAGAAAGTCCAAGGACGTCCGAAGGACATCCGAAGCGCGGGAAAGTTCGGAAGGACTTTCTGGACGAGTGCGGGAAAGTTCCGGAGGAACTTCCGGAAATTACGATGAGGTTTCGTCCTGATACGGATATGTGTAATGGCTACTTAGGACAAGTCCTAAGTAGAAGCAAACAGAGGAAAGGCTGCAAGGACAAAGTCCGAAGCAGAATAGGTCCGGAGGACCACGGGAAAGTTTCGGACGAACGTCCGGAAACTTCGGAGGATCGGATAAGCAGATAAGCGGATGAGCGGATGAGCGGATAAGCGGATGAGCGGATGAGCGGATGAGCGGATGAGCGGATGAGCGGATGAGCGGATGAGCGGATGAGCGGATGAGCGGATAAGCGGATGAGTGGATAAGCGGAGCTCTGGCCTAGGGAATTTCTCCCTAGGCCCGAGATGGATATTGACTAAGTCGATAGACTAGAACTGATGTGAGGACTTAGAGTGAGATCTAGTGCGAGGACTAATATGATATTCAGACTGAGGAACTACAGGACATATACAAGAGTTTATATACTAAGGAAATAACGGAAAGATCAGTAAGCAAGCGTCCGAGGCTATGTATGAAGCATAAGCAAAGTTATCAAGCACGAGTCGGAAATGAAGCATAGGTTAACGGATCAGTAAGCGTACCGGTAGTAAGTATAACCGAGAAACCGAGGACAAGGAATACCGAATAGAGGAATAGGCTGTGTTAACGTTATATGCACAGGAAATGAATTAGGAAGCTTATCGTATATCGGATCGGACCGGACCGGACCGGATGTCCGGACAAGAAGCGTGGATATACGGGATATGATATTAGGGCAATAGGACAAAGGATGAATGATGCAGGCTAGCTGCAGAGGTATGGAGGTGTGATGTACGGAGGTAAAGGGATCTGGACATGGATGCGCGGATGTGGATGTGCAGAGGTGCAGGGATCCGGATGGGTAGAGGACTGGAGACATGGATAGGGTGTCCGAAGGTCCGGATGAGGCGTGGGAACATTATCGGATGTAGGTCCGGAATACGGGATATGACAATCAGGCTCCCCCATATGAGCTTCAGTTTGCAAAGAAGCAAATTTTTGACAGCTCATCCAATGCTTTCACCCTTCACAACTTGCGCGAGGTAGGGAGACTTTGTTTTCAACTTAATATATTCTCATTAATAAAATATACAGGGCAGGGATCTTCTCCAGAGAGGTTTATCTCTCATGTCTGACGATTCCGTTTACAAGGCGGTCCAACTCAAACACGCCACTAAGGAAGACCTCTGGCACCAGCTCATGCACACTACCTGGCGGCTCGAACATAATAGAAGAGAGAAAAATTTACTGAAATCTCTCCAACGAGAACAAGAAGGTGAATTTAAGATGGCCAAAACTGAAATGGAGATATTCAGGGGCTTCATTACTACCCGGGGGCTCCCGGCCTTGGAAGAGGACAAAGACTACCTCGAGGCAATCTTCGCGGAGGAACTGGACCAGTATGATGTTGCCAGCGAGCAGTATGACGAATTTTTGACTCACGTGGGGAAGCATTGTAGAGACTGATATCTCTATGGCCTTGTAGAGGTCTAATTTCCGATGCATGTTGAATGCTAATCATTATCCGAATCATTCCCTATCATATCCGACTCAATACGCACCAAACCCAAAAACATCGGACATCGCATCGGACTATCGGACTTCGCTTGTATTCGTCCTTCCCGTGTCTTGTCCTGTCTTACTAGCCCCACTAGGTGCGTAGTTCATTATTTCACACATTACTCATGTCGTAGCAAGTGCTATTACATGTTTTCCCATAGTCTGCAGCGCCTCATGTTTATTTACATGTACTTCGGATCCGAAATCATCAACCGCTACCTTCGCCTATGGGTTCCGCATTTCTACGTACTTACATATATATTGGACTGACCTTGAGCATTATTCATTATCCAAGTAGAGGGGAGCAGTTCCCCGACGCTTAGTGGTCAAACCTGATATTTCGTAGTTCTTAGTTGACATTGCGAATATCATTGTTCCTTCACCGCCCATATCAGTCATTGTTATTATTGCGCACACCGCTCGCTCTTCCGACGCTCACTATAGCATTACTATTAGTTTCCGACACCACAAACCCGAACCTGATAACCCGAAACCCCGAAAACATCGGACCCGATGCTTTTGCATCGGACATTGTAATTATACCTTTGGACATTGTTTCCCGCGCTCGGACTATTGACCCCACATCACTCACTTACCCCCAAGACTATTCCCAGACCGCAGACCCCTGGGTCGAATGCACTTGTCAGGCAAGTATAGCAGACTAGGCAGTGCAAAGACCACAACACAAATATACCAGTTTGGAGCCATCCTCGTATAGCCCCACTCAGTATAGTTGTTTCTACAGCGTACCATCTCTTTCTCCAATAGTAGCGATACAGAACCATCAGACTCTCACACTGATGCGGAGTCTGATGATAGCCTCATCTACCAACCAGATGAATGAGAAGCTGGCGCTCGTAGCTTTATCGACGAATAGGAAGTGTGCGAGTTTCTGTTTTATTTACCTCATGTATCAATTTATTGACGACACATGCACAGTGTAGCCTTCTTCTTACATCGTTCAATTGAATTCTCTGATCACGTTATCAACCATATGACCTGCTGTTGATTTTGTTTGTACGTTTTTATGTACATCATTTCCAAATTATACATTTGTTGTGCCCTTCATTTACGTGTAAGTTCAATCAGGTAAGTCAATTTATTGTATACAGATAGGACTATCCACAACCCATGCCCCCACGCAAACCCTCACAGCAAGCACGACGAACGTCCAACAAGAAAAGGGCAAGTGTTTCTATTGTATTGAATGCACACTGACATGATCCTATAGGAACCACCGCGACCCAAGAAAAATTCCAACACTAACGCATCAGGTCGCGACATTGGGACCCAACTTGGTCTCCCTGAAGATCGGCCAGAGACGCCTGAATTTCTACGCCGCACATCGATGGCTACACATGCAGGCTTCGACCATTACAATTATCCCCCTCCACAGCTTGACGGTTACCCTCCACAACCCCAAGGGCCTCAAGAGCCCGAGTTCTACTATCATCATTACGACCATCCCCCTCCGCAGCCCCAAGGGCCTCAAGAGCCCGAGTTCTACTATCATCATTACGACCATCCCCCTCCACAGCTTGACGGTTACCCTCCGCAGCCCCAAGGGTCTCAAGAGCCCGAGTTCCACCATCATCATTATGACCATCCCCCTCCACAGCTTGACGGTTACCCTCCACAGCCCCAAGGGCCTCAAGAGCCCGAGTTCTACCCTCAGCATTACAACCATCCTCCCGATGAGCAGTTGGACGCACCTCAATACCACAACCTTGTTTCATTTGGAGGCTCCGGGGTGCCACGTTATACACGATGGGATATCGGAAATGCCACCGCACCACTGAGCCCAACGCCAGCACCAGCACCAGCACCAGCACCAGGGCTGGTGGTGGTCAGTGTGGTTTTGCCTCGCGAGCGGGAGACAGAACGCGGTGAATTCAGCCGTGGTGTGATTCATGTGCATGTTTCCTTTCTTTTGTTACTAATACTAACTACTATGCTAGGCGCTACAGACGGAGCATTCAGTCGGTCGATCGCGTGCCATTGAACGTCACCTGCCTCCTACACCAACGCCCAGACCAGCACCTGGACCAGCACCTGGACCAGAACAGGCAACACCACCCTCTACAGCCGCTCCCCCACTCAAACTCAAAAAGAAGGATATCCAGGCCATCAAGACCAAGGCAAAAACCATTCTCCGTCGCATCATGCTGCGCACGGAGGGTGTTTCGCCAACGCAAAAGAAACGAGACAAACACATTTCGAACGCCTTGCAGGACGTGAGGATTGACGTGGTCGGAGATGGTAAGTCGCGATCGCATCATTAACATTAATAACGTCTTATTTTGCAGTTCCATACGAAACGTTCGAGACTCCCAGAGTCCACGACGAGATGGTGACCTCCATGTCGTACACGTGAAGGCTTTTCAAAACATACGCCACACATAAGGTTCAAGACGCGCTCCATTTGCGCCTCCCGCCCGCAGAGAGGGCCATCGCAGTCAAGGCTCACCTTTCCGGGCTCAAATTCCTCCATAAAGTCGAAATCGTGAGTATTTCGTCATGTAAACCGTTCGAAGACTCATTGTTGTACTGACAGGTTGACGGAGTCGAGGTCACGCGTTTTTTCGAGGCCGAGTATCTCGTCAACATGATCGTGGACATGATATGGCAACAAGACCTATATCACAACATCGATCTAGAGAAACTCGACTGCGTATTTGGTCTCGCAGGCGCCGCAGTTCACAACGCTCTCAAGGCATTTCGTGAAGGCACGTACGAAAACGTCGAAGCGTCCACTGATCAGTTTTATGACACCTACAACTTGATCATGGCGTTGATCGACGAGATACGACTTGACGATACGTTGAGAGAGCGCTACGAGTCTTTGTGCAATATCATCATCGCTCGCAGACAGGCAGACTTGGGATTGTAGAATTACATGCACATCTGTTTCGATTACTAGCAGATAATCATACTATCTGTAACGAGATTATCTATATCTGCCTCTAAGTACTTTTACAATATAATATTAACTGTTTCTCGCACATTTTTCGTGGAGCCGAGTCAATAACGACTAAAAAGGTGCGCCAGCCGACGCTAGCTATTTATGGCTCCCAGAAAGCGCCTCAAAGGTGCGTTTGTGGATTTTGGCTTTTCAGATGCTGGACAACCAACCCATCGGTTCGCCCCTCCAGCATCCATATCCACATTACGTGACCTCTGTGTCATTTTTGGCAGATGGCAAGCTACTAGCCACTGGCTGCCTCGACGAAAATGCGTATACATGGGACATTTGTAGATTACTAGAAGAAGCTGGCCTTAGCGAACTTCAGTTGCACAAGGCAGTCCCTGCTGTACGACGTCGTGTAGCGTGACACTTTTTTATGATCAGGTCTTATTTGTTGAGATCCTATCCTATCACAACTAAACCTATTCCTTCTCGGCTGATGCTACTATATGCTGTTCCTCTTCTGAGTATACTGACCGTCATCCATTCATCATTAATCTACCCTGTTTCTTTTTTTCGTCTTTCAAAGATCTCCTTTGTCATTTCTTATAATTTCATTGCGCTTCTACTGATTATACCCATGATCATCAGTAATATATTCCGTCCGTTTTCTCGTTAAATACATATATACATTGGCTCCAATCACATCAAGGAGGTGCCGAATCAGCCTAAGTCGACAGAAACACTCGCCTACAAGTCGCTAATGCTTCTCGATACGTCTCAGAAGCACAACCTCCTCTCCAGCCTCAGTACATGTGTGTGAAGTCAGTTGAACCTTCGACGAAGGCCCAGAGAAGGAACAAAATGATCTCAAGTTCTGGATTCTGTCGGAATGCGAAGGCATGTCGGAACGCAAAAGCATATCGAAAACGAGAATGCTCACCAGTATTGACTTTCGGAAGCTTACAATTGCACCCAGCACTTGACCGACAAGACAATCCGCTCTGCATAGCGTAGGGTCAATCTTGGTCCGAATACCAATCAGTCCTCCCGAAAATGCAAACTGCGAATGTAATATTGTTCTTAGTGTGCAGAGAGACAATCCTGCTGAAAATGGGCTTGCACAGTTCTGGCCCTGAGTGTCATTTGTCACGATCCCCAGACGAATCTTGACTTCTTGCCCTAGCCCGTAGAACGTCTGTGAGGGATAGAACACCACTTTTGAGCTCATCGACCTCAGCAGCAGACATGTTGAGGTTGAAGGAATGGATAATGATGAGACGGGGATCAGAAGCAAAGTCGCGGACTGACATAGGTATACGCTTTATAATATATTCGTTGACAGTGTTGATATTATGTTTCGGCTGCGTATCAGAACGATGGGGAAGGTGGTTCTCGGGAGTCGGGATCAACAATCGATCAGATGCGAATAAGAAAGGACATACTTTTAACCCAGCTTAATTGTGATGTTACGAATGAGCTCGTTTTCCGATCGTACACTCATGATGCCAGATATGGCATTTAACACTGTGACCGATCATTCTTGTAGACAGCTCGATTGTTCCACTCAGAAAGTTCTGCGTGCCCAAGTCAATTGTAGCCTGGAAGGATGAGTTGCTCTTAGACAATCACAAACTGCTTGCGCACCTGTTTCATTTCATTTGTGATATCCATGTCAATCTTTGTGATATCCTCGTCAGCTTTCAAGTAGCATCTCACCTCCATCACACCGGCCATATGTAACACTAAATCAGAAACAAACTTTAGCACCGTGACGCCAACGTCTTGGCACGAAATTAGTGTATGCACACTATAAGGCGCATGATATATATCAGCTTCCAACAAGCCTGCCACTGCGAAGGGGTCGTTGCTTGTAATCCTGACGAAGTTGCGTTTGGAACACAGGTGTCATCTCCACTGCGTGTTATCAACATTTTCAGCTGTACAAAACGAGGGTAGAACCTGACCCTAGGTTAGGTTTGAGCCACGTCAGCGCCTTTGTTGGACACCGGTGTAGAGACTCATGCCTCTCATGGTGTGATATGGCACTTTTCACTAGGGAGTTCATTGCACGAACTTGCAGCACCATTCTGTGTGCTATCTGCAGCTATCCCTATATGAGGCGCAGCTTTTCCGCGCAACGCGCGCCATGCGCGCACCATTCCCGCGCTTCGCGATGTATATACGCGCGCGCTTGAGCGCCCTATAGCGCCAGCCATCTGGAAGCATCCATCCACTGTCCACCAAGTTCTCTAGTGCGTATGTTTCCATTTCTCTTATCTGTGTATCGTTCCACCTTTATTTTTATCATGGACCCTTACTTACATATAGCTTTACATACCTTACTCGGTAGCGCTTCGGCTCCGCGTGACAGCACTTAGGCGCCGTATATAAGCGCCAGCATTACATACTATTGAAAACTTTCGAACTTTGGACTTTACCTCCCACTTACCCATCTACTACCTAGCAGAATATAGTTGCAATCTATTCCTTGGCACCTCGCACTCGCATCTCTTGTCTTGCATCATATCACCACTTAAGCAAACTCACACTTACTCTCACTTGTGTCCGCTTCCCGCGCCTTGCGCATACCTTCGCTTTTCCGCGCCTCGCGCGCACCTGCGCGCTTTCTCACGCTTCGCATCAGCCGACCAGTAGCGCCTTCGGCGCGCACTACTAGATCCTTGCTGCACTTGCTTCCCCTTTAGGGTCGAACACACTTGTCATCTCAGGTATAGCAGACTAGGCAACGCATGACCTTACAACATTCACAGATACAGTCTGGAGCATTGTTTTGTTCCTCTCTGTATTGTTGTTTCTACACTGGTATTGACATGGCGGTTTTGTCGCATTTCCTCTATGTAGCAGTCAAGGTTTCGCGCTCTCGTCGACACCGGCTGAAACCATGGCCTATCCTCGATAGGGCGACCTCGCGAGCTGTTTACTCGAGCTCAAAGTGAGCGCGAGGGAAAAGAGCTGATTGCTACAGGAATTAATTTCAAATTCAGGTTTGGGTAATAACTTTGTACACTTCAACATTGAGCTAGGTCGCATTTACATGGCGTTTTGCGAACCAGATCGAATTTCAAATTCTAGATATAATTGGTAATTGAGTCGATCAAGAGTCGACCGAATAGGCATACTCTAGGCAAAGTTCCCATCGTACAGCCCCACCACACAACAAAGCTCAAAAGCTCGGCATTCACGAAAATGTATTCGTTCCCTACCATACTGGTCAACGTGTTTGCTGAAGTGCGTCAGTGTTTCCCTTAAGTTCCTGTCCAATTTTGTTCAATCTCAATGCTATGTATGCTTATCATGAACCTTTGTTTGTGGTGTAACTGATGAGTGTTTGGTCTTTATAGGGCCTCGAATTTGTGTCCGTGCATGATTCTTTTGAGTCCGCACGCCAGCAGCATCGAGAATTTGACGTCCATAATCCCAGACACCTCCATCGTGCTGCATTTCTCGGATGTCCTTGAGAAAGTAGTTATGGGGGTATGCATCACTCACACCAGTCGATCGCACTACTGAATGCTTCGCCACAGTTCCGGACCCAACACCCATCCGAATTTTTTTTGCATCACTCTGCAGTGGCCGGCTGCTGAAGGGCCTTCGTGTCGCAGTTTCATCTGAACAGGCAACCACGCTTCATGAAGGTGAGTCCATGTCCTTTGTCAAGAGATCTCACCCTGAATGCCTGTCCCTCTTTGCTGCGCGCGTCATTCCCAACAGGGTGGATGTTCCAGGTAGACGGGAGTACGCGGCTGTAGGCTGTTCTGGTGGTGGAGGTGAGTGAGTCTTGGGTCCTGGTCTGATATTCATTATGGCGGTAATCTGTGAAGATGTGGTGATGGCCATTTGTGGATCGCTGTTTGTCATGGTCCCCACTCTCGAAGGATTTTTGAAGGACGAACGAAGGCTTGTGAGAAATGATAGGGAAGCGACGGGACTTGTAGCATAATTTTTACCCCAGTATATACCTATGTGCGGAAACATGTGTGTGTGATACATATGCTGTATGAGTATCATCTTTAAAAGTACAGATGCGAAACGTCCAGAGGTCCATAATCTTTGAAACAACGCCATCTGACTACAATATTTCTATGGTCCTGATCAAGTCTCCAACAGAAACCACGTCCTTGACCTGCCAGTGTCCAATGATATCATAATCCGTCGCGATCCTCTTGTATTCTCCACTGTGCTGCTGCGCCAGTAAAAATGCACCAAAAGGCTGCCCAAGGTGAACAAGCAACCGCAATGCTCGTGATTCTAGATCAGACATCCCCTGTTTTACAGGAGAACCACCAGACCAGTCGTCTGATGGAGAAGGCGGCGTTCCATAATCCTCTTCACTCTCCACATCATTTGCATAGTCAGACGGTTCTACAAATTCAGGTAGCTCCAGGAGAGACCGATCCCAGGGACGGACAAGGACAAATTTTTGTTCAATGGGCCTCGCTTGCCAGAACTGAGCCAGGGTCTCTGCAGTGGTGATAAGCAAGTTGTGAAGTCCGTCTGCCTCCACTTCATACGTGAAATGAGTTTTCGAGGCTGGACTAACCACCCGTCTGACTTTCCTGACATTGAATGCAAGACAAGGCAGATGCAGTCTCTGTGCTGCGAAGCGAGGGGCACTCGTGTTCCGAAGCACGGTATAAAGGTTCGAAGCAAAATCAGTAGCCACCGTCTTTCGCAGCGAAGAAACAGATGACTGAATTTCTTCCTCGGGTAGGGGTGGTAGCTGGCACGGTGGAGCTTCGTATGAAGTGATGGAGGCTGGTAGACAGCTGTTGAACTCTGATGATTCTCCGTCCCAATCGAGGCCAGTGATGTCCCCTGACCGAGCCACGATCTCCTGCAGGAGCCGCCCGAGAGCCTTGTCCTGCTTTTCACCATAATCTACAGGCAGGCGGACGCCAAGGACGCCAAACAACGAGTATGCTATGTCTTCCTGATGCGTGGTAACGCGGGTTGATGCCCAATGAAGTTTTTATCGGGCGTTATGCATACTGGGACGGAAGGGCACAACGGCTGGTCGGTCTATGCCTGTCACATCCTTTATCTCCTGCATGATTGCAATGGAATCCTTGTGGTTGGGAGTAAGATCATTACGATAAAGAGTCCAATTGTTCTGATAAAGGAGGATGACTTTGGGAGCAATGAATTCCTGAACCGTCCATCCGCGCGTTGTAGAGACTCATGCCTCTCATGGTGTGATATGGCACTTTTCACTAGGGAGTTCATTGCACGAACTTGCAGCACCATTCTGTGTGCTATCTGCAGCTATCCCTATATGAGGCGCAGCTTTCCCGCGCGCCATGCGCACACCATTCCCACGCTTTACGATGTATACGCGCCCGCGCTTTCCCGCGCTTGATCGCCCTATAGCGCCAGCCATCCGGAAGCATCCATCCACTGTCCACCAAGTTCTCTAGTGCATATGTTTCCATTTCTCTTATCTGTGTATCATTCCACCTTTATTTTGGACCCTTACTTACATATAGCTTTACATACCTTACTCGGTAGCACTTCGGCTCCGCGTGACAGCGCTTAGGCGCCATATATAAGCGCCAGCATTACATACTATTACCCACTTTTCCAACTTAGACTCTACCTCCCACTTACCACCCACATACTACCTAGCAGAGTATAGTTGCAATCTATTCCTTGACACCTCACGCTCATATCTCTTGTCTTGCATCATATCACCACTTAAGCAAACTCACACTTACTCTCACTTGCTTCCACTCACACGCGCGCACGCTTCCCGCGCCTCGCGCATACCTTCGCTTTCCCGCGCCTCGCGCGCACCTGCATGCTTTCCCGCGCTTCGCATCAGCCGACCAGTAGCGCCTTCGGCGCGCACTAGATCCTTGCTGCACTCGCTTCCCCTTTAGGGTCAAACGCACTTGTCGTCTCAAGTATAGCAGACTAGGCAACGCGCGACCTTACAACATTTACAGATACAGTCAGGAGCTTTGTTTGTTCCTCTCTGTATAGTTGTTTCTACAGCGTGTTCCAAGCGCTCTTTGCCAGTCTGCCAGACTTTGATGAAGGCGGAACATCAGACAGGTAGACAATCGTGAGCACGGAATGATGATACCATTCGAACATGGAGTTGACCGATTCTTGGACTTCGACATTGTTGCTCTTGTCGATGCAGCATGTATCGCTCCATGCCCAGTTATACTCCGCATCACGAGCAGTTTTGCAGAACGACCACAGTTTCGTCATGCCGCCAACTGGATCCAACTCTGAGTCGTACACGCACTTGCCCTGGATATCCTGCAGTAGTGGCTCCTTCCCTTCCCACCTGTGTGATAGCATGGCATATTGTAGGTATCTCTTCACCACTTCTTTGATGCGCTCGATGTCCAAGTCTACATGCGTGATTGTTGACGACACAAGCTTCTTATACTGCGTGCTCATTTTGAAGGTGTCTATCTGCGTCTCTCGATCACATAAGAGACCTGTGGTGGTATCGAGTACACGCCGCGGAGCATTAACGAGTTGGGCATCAATGACCTGTCGAATGGTGCGTTCTACTTCAGAAGGTCTGAGATACTGCTGGCGCAGCTCTTGAGAACAAGTTAAACATGTTGACGAATGCGGTATCAGAGACTTACTTCATGTTTGAACATCAGGTGCCTTGTCCAATATCGAGAGCATCATTTGGAAGGTTATAATCGCTTCATCATAGCGCTGCGCACCATGAAGCGCCGCGTGCTTCAAGTAGTATCCAAGATAAGATGAAGAGTCAAGATCAATAAGCTATGTATCACCAAAATGAGCATTGACCATGGAACAATAGCTCCCATTGCACCTTCTGTGCATCGAGAAGTGCTTCCATCCATGACTTTTTGCCTAACTTTGCCTTGCTACAATTTGCAAAGCCAACATCAGATGTAGAGTTCAAGTTGATTACAGCCGAGTATAGGACAATAGCCCTGTCATAATCGCTGGCATCGAGGGCGGCATTTCCGTTGACAGCACAGAGCTCGCTACATTTTCCCTTGAATTCTGAGTGACATGCAGGTGAGCATGATAGTCGTGGGTGACATGACGGAAGACTTGCCATTGGACCAATCAAGGCAGCTGGCCTTCGTGATGTCATCGATGGCGTCCATCATGCATTTGTGTGCTTCGAGGGCTTCGTCGAATTTACCTGCCGAAAGGAATGCCTGGCACCGTTTCTGGTGTGTCGTAAGCAACAAGGACTCAAGATCCCAGTCGAAGAGCTGCAAAAAGGACTAGGTTATGAAAAGTCCTGGGTATGCATCATCTTGACGAACCATGACCAAGTCCTCGCATATCAAATGAATGTGTTTCGATGAGAAAGCAGTGGAGTTGACAGCGGCAGTGAAAATATCAGCAGCTTCGTCGTGACACGCGCCATCGAAAGCTTTGATCCCGAGCTGAACATGTAGATATGTCTATTGTGCGAGTTCAAAACATCAGGATTGATGTCCGAGTGTGGCCGCATGATACTCACTTCCATGACACGACGCGCGAGAGGATCGACATTTGGACAAGCGGCAGCCAGGTCTTTGATGAGCAGCATTGCTTCCTCATGTTGATCTGCGTTGAAGAGTGTGATGGCCTGGAATACCGGATGAGGCAAAGAGCATGCGAGACAAATTGAATGTACCTTGATCAGGAGAAGAAAATGGTTGGTCTGTGGATCTTGGTTTGTGAACATGGATGCAACGTCGAACACTATCCTTGCCTCCCGGATAAGACCTTTTCCGCAGAGGCCAATGCCTTTGGAGATAAAGCCTATCAATGATGGCCGAATGTTGATTGACTATGTCACGGATGAAAGTTAGCCTTTCGTAAGAGGACAACGATGGGTGGGTCCATCTCACCTTGATTGCATCCTCAAGGGCATGGTCTGGGTCGTGCTTCCGGGCTATAATGAATGAACGATTGGCATATGAAATAAAGTCATCAACTTTGGTGTGGATCTCTTGCGTGAGGAGCTCTTCAGCAATAGACAAGTCCCCAGTTAGACATGCATCGCGGGCTGTTGTGATATCAAGGATCTGCACGAAGGATGCTCGAATTGCGTAATGAGTCAAAAATGAAAACTCGCCTTCGAATGAGTGTCCTTTGGTATTGCCCACTCTGAGATCTTGTCATCTGTACCTCCGCTGAGGATGTGCTTGCTGTCCACAGAGAACGTGACATATGTCATGGCGGATGAATGCTGGAAGATGGCGACAGTTCGTTGATCTGAGAGCCGCCATAGACGGACATGCTTGTCAGCAGATGCAGAAGCGACGAAGGTGTCAGCGGGATGAATAGCAAGGGCATAGATATTATCAGTGTGGCCTTTCCATGGATGACCAACCTGCTGCCAGGTTGATGTGTCCCACTCCAATACGACATTGTCGCTTCCTGAAAGAAGGCGTGTGCCATCGGGGGTCCACGCGAGTGACGTCTTCCATCTGCCAGTGTGACCTGTCAAAGATGCGACATGTTCCCTTGTGCCTGGATTATAAATTTGGATATTGAAGTATGTTGCGATGGCAAGTAGTTCACCAGAAGGTGAATATCGAACGCAGTTTAGAGAACCACACTTGATTGGATCTCCTTGCATCTGCCACGTTTTGGTACTCCAAAACTTGACCATGTTGTCATATGAACCAGTGGCCAGCACCATTCCATCCGGAGAAAAATCCACCGAGGTGATCCTCTGACAGTAGGAGTGGGCTTTGATGGGTTGAGTGATGGATTCACCAGTTTCACCATGCCAGGCGATGACCTCTCCATTTTCATCACCACTTGCTATTATTTTACCATCTCTCAATATCGCCAATGCCCACACCGCACTGCCATGCCCTTCCATCTTCTTCAACACAACACCAGTCTCCAAGTCCCAAAGATGAAGTGTCTTGTCGTCCGAACAGGTAATCATTTGTCGTTTGTCAGGGAACACTGTGACACCATTTATGTACCTCTCATGATATTTAAAAGTTCGAATGGGTGTGATGCTTGGAATGAGTTGTGACATTTTACTGGAGATTGATGGTGTTGAGCACGGCCGAGGGATTGTGGGTGTCTTTCTCCAAGTTACAGGGCCCTGTGCGTGCGTTGTGCGTTTTTATGTTGCTTCACCACGCTAACCTTCCTCGTTTCCATAGACGCCCAAGACCAGGCCCCCGGAAGCTCCCTATCTGTCAAGACCCTCCAAAATGGCCCTCAAATAGGCACGATTACGAGCGTCGAATACACAAAACCGGACCACCTGGGTTGCCCAATAAGTAAAAGTACAACATCGACATCGTATTCCTTTCTCCCTCTTTCGTCATGGACTCAATAATGTGTTGGAATATCGATGATTACATAATCAGTACATGCACGCTCGTTTTCTTCTTTGATATGTTTTTCTCAGTCGTTATACATCCGACTGAGGTATGTTCCTACGTTCGTTACATTTAGACATCAGTTACTGATCATACATAGTCTGGCTTTTACCTTTAGGTACAGTACTGTATGAATATCAGTCGTTATACATCCGACTGAGTCTGGCTTTGACCTTTAGGTTATGAGCCCTGACGTTCTACACGTCTAAAACTCACGCAATATCAACATTGGAGCGCCCGTTCGCCCCCCTAACTCCCTTGTTGGTCTAATGTGCCCCATACTTCCCTTGATCTTATTCGATCTCACCCAAATCCATTTTTAGATGAGCAATCCAATTGGCTCCACATCCATGCAACCCACGACGACTTCTGCCAGCACAACCACTGTTCCTTTGTCGTGGGATATGCCAGCAAATTCATCCATGTTCTTCCCCAAAAGTGACGACAACCATTTATCGAAAGAAGACGGATACTTCGTCTGGGGCCACCGGATGCAAAAAGCTTTTCAATACTGTGGACTCTGGCCCGTTGTCAATGGCTCGATGCCTAAACCAAGTCCAGGCTCGGCCGAGGAGGCTGTGTGGCTAAAAATGGACACTGCTGCAACTGCGCTACTCACACAGTGCATCAAAGGAGAACTCATCGTCAAAATCGTGCACCTGGAGACTTTGCGCGAGGCTTGGGACCTTTTCGCATCGGAGTACAGCCAAATTGGCTCAGGCTCCATCATGTATTGGTTCGCGTGTTGTCTTCTTAGATAGATGATCTATAGATAAACACCTATAAAAACAAATATCTCCACAGTCAGCGATTCAGACAAATACCAATGACTGATAATGTGGTTGTTCATGGGTGGCTAGTTGTATACTATCCAAGGTATGCTCAGCTAAAGGTACTTCTGCAAGATCAGTAAATACAATGGTCAGCCCGACAGTATGACAATGACCAAAAGAATATATGGGATTCTTCCTCAAGTTCCCCTTCAACAACAGTGCCTCGTGCCAACTATACTCCAAAAGGAATGGTGCAGAATTACAATGATCAACCCCCTCAGCACAAAACAGGTAGAATCAAAGGTCAAGACTAGTCGAATGCTTTATTGTAGAGCTCTTAGCTCAATATTGAACCCGCTGTCAAGGAACTCTCTTTTGAGTATTCAAACAGACTCAGGAACGGACATCCTTGGATTTACTACCAAGTCCCCTCTTCAACAGCTAAAGCCTAGCAGGCACAGAATATCTTGGCTCAGTATCACTACTCAGATGAGTGAGGTCAAGCTTCACTATCAATTCCTAAAGTCTCCCCACTAAGCTACTCTGAGTCTTAGGTGGACGTAGAGACAACACGAATATTTTGGAAATATATTTTTGGACAAAGAACACCAAAGGTTGGTGAAAGTAAAACAAAAGAAAAAGAAAAATAGAAATTTGAATATAACTGTGGCTGTACCTTGCTTGCTGGTTGTTGCACACAGTGAGCTCACAGCTGGTCATTTAGTATGATGAGCTTGCAGTATTACTGTCTCTTGAGAATGTTCCTCTCAGTCTTGAAACACTTATTGACACTGGTACTGACACTTATCACACCTTACTCACAACTTAGTTTAGATGGGCTGAAAAACACCCACTAAAAGTGCTGCTTATTATTTCAAAAACTGGGGTCATTATATACACAATAAATGTGGCTGTGCTACTAGTATACTCAAGAGTCATCAAGAGTCATATATACAGAGTGAGTCATAGCGAGTCAGTTTAAAGTTGTTTCTAGTCATAAGGAGTCATATATTCAGAGTAAGTCATAATGAGTCATATGGGTATTGTGCTAAGTCATGTGACCTATCCAGCTCCTGATGACAAGCCCAGAAAGAGAGTAAGAAATGTCACATGATGTGAGTCCTTTGTGTGCTTGTCTTTTCTTTGTTTTGTTTGATGGGTGAAAATGACGCGAGCCTGGTATTTAGGGTTTTACTAATGTTTTTCCAGGACAACATATGTGGGAAATATTTTTCACAGTCACCTGACATGTGTGGGATTTTGTCTGAGTCATCACCATGGCTGACTAAGCAAAACTTATTGCAGAATTAAATGTACCAAAATATTCAGGCTGCTCACGTACATACTTGAAAAATAAACAGAAAGGCGAAAAATATTCCCTTGGCCTCAGTCCAACTTTAGATAAAAGGAAAAGGGTTTCATAGTGGTATTTTGGGTATAAGACTCATGGGAGAGTATTAGTCGTTCATGCACCGAACCAGTTTGGTGCAGGTCAGCGTCTCA